ACATGGTAGTACATGGTGCATATCTACAATAGTTTACAAATTCATTCTCTTTTGATCCAGTTCGACTTGACCAGTATAGAAATAAACACCCTTCTGAGGGACTTGTGAAAATGTTACTTTGGGAGAGTAGAATACTTGGTTCATAAGATACTTGCATACTTACTTTGATTGCCAGCTGCTCTCCTGAGTGACTTGATCAATTTATGTCTGTATCAGCAATGCATGAGAATTCTTCTTTGCCACTCTATTGATATGTAACAATGTTCAGCTTTCTGATTTTGCCCAAATGATAAGGTATAAAGTGGTATCTTATTACTCTATTTTGAATTTCCCTGATTTCTTATGAATTTAAGCATCTTTTTACATATTTTCTAGATGTCAGGGAATGTATCTTAGTTGTAGAGTACCAGGCCTGCATGTGCAAGCCCTGGGTTCAATCCTAGTATGAAAAATTAATTTTACATACAGATATGTTTTTGATAGCTATTCTGGTTTCCAATGCTTTGAATTACAATTTAATCTCCCTATGCAGTTTGGTATTTGGGGTCCTATCTTTTTCTTATTTATTAATTGACAGAAGTTTCTTGTGTAATCTATGCTCCTCAAACTTTAAGGTGCATGCAAATCACCTGGAATCTTGTGAAGGTTCACATTATGATTCAGTAAGGGTAGTGGCTCGAGATCATGTGTTTCTGATCAGTCCCTGGTAGTGCAGAAAGGGCTATATATCGTCTTTTGAGTAGCCAGGTTGTTAATATTAGTTTGAGACTTTGAAAAAGATTTCTCCCAACATTGTCACATTACTGCCATTTTTGTCTACCTTTAATGTAATCAAGCACAGCAACATTTTGTCTTATGGTTACTGTGTCAGTTACTTTTCTTTCCTCGCTGAGACAAAATACCCAATGCCCAAAGTTAAGGAAGGAAAGGTTTCTTTTAGCTTACAGTTTGTGGAGGTTTCAGTGTGTAACCAGCTGGCTGAAGGCAGGGTTAGATGGCAGGAGGCAACAGTTCATAGTGGTAGAAAACAGCAAAACCAACAAGAGCAAACATGGGAGAGCAAGCCTCTTTTCCTCTCTTGTAAGCAGGCCACCGGCCCTTCTATTGCACAGGATCAGGATGTTTACAAAGTGATGACCCTGGCTCCCTGCTGAATCACTTAGTTAAATTTCTAAACTTGTCAAGTTGACACAGTATATTAACCATTACAGTTACATTTTTGGGAGACTTGTTTCAGAAGCTCTTTATACCTGTGTCACAATGATGTTCTCAGTTAATGTTACAGTTTTTGTGGTTGTTATTACTGTAACAAGGTCTTACTGTGTTACTCATGCTGGTTTTGCATTCCTGGGTTTATTCCTTCTGACACATTCTCCCAAGTGTGTGGCTTGTGGAACCCACCTAGCTTTTTTTTTTTATTTAAAGAGTGAAGAAAAATAAAAAAAGAAAGAACATAAAAAAATGTAGTAAAAGGGTACAAATAATACAGTATTTCAAGAAAAAAAATATACAAAAATCACCAGTTAATAGGTTACATATTATCTTCCCAGAAACAGTTGTCCATATCACTAAATTAAAGCATATAAAGTGGACATTCATACAGTGAAATTGGAGACAGTTCCGTTCAATGATCCAACAAAAGCTCAGTTATATGGTTTTCCATCCTACACACTCAAACATACCTGCGGTTATAACCCTTAGTCCACCTTACTTTCCTCTCTTTTTTACAGTAACAATTAGACTTTTAGGGTTTTATTACTCACACGGTTCTTATTACTTTTTTGAAGAGAATAAAACCAAATGTGACTAAGCAAAACAGAGTCAGTTAGAACAGACGGGTGGGCATAGCACATGATGCAAAAATAGAATACCAGGTGATCAAAAGTGGTTACCATTGTGCCTCTTGCTATTTTTAAATTGAGTTTGTCTATATCATCAGGTATAATAGAGTTGATCAAAACAGTACAGAACAAAACCAATAAAAACTACACTGAGGACCTAACAGGGCTTCAAAAAAAGGATAATAGTCAATCCATATTGGGCATCATAGTATATCTTCTTGCCTTCAAAGTGATTGCCTATACCCTCAAACTTGATACTGTCAAACAAAATAGAATATATAATAATCGGACAGAACAAGATGGGGAGAGCAATACTGAGAACCCACCTAGCTTTATAGTTTTATATCAAATTTAATACATTTGAAGTGACATTTGTATTGGGCGTGAATCAGGTAACGACCTTTTACTTTTCCTCTTTATAGTAATCTAATTTTCAGTTTTAAGTATGCTTTAATACATAGAAGGGTAACTCTTGTCTTCTTCAAATTTGACTTATGTCTAGGTATTTGTGGCTCTTTATCCTTTTAAATGAATTTTAGAATAGCTTTTCAACAACTGCCTGAAATCTTGATGTGTACCAATTTTATATATTGGTTTGGAAGAGACTGATATTTCTATAATTTATAGGAGATAGATATATGGAGACAATTGATATTTCTATAATGTCTCATATCATCATGCATTCAGATCTTACATGTCTTTGTTTAATAAGGTTTAAAGTTTTTTCCCCCCAGAAAGTCTTATAGATTGTATTTAATGTTTCTTACAAGTATTTATTTTATTTTTTTGCATTTTAGAGCAGTATTTGTTACATGTCCTATTTATTTCTGATGTACAGAAATGTCAATAGTTTTTGTAAGCTAATTTTGTATCTCACAATCTTGATGATCTTTGTTACTATGACTGGAAATAGTGAACTTTTGTTTATTCCTTTCTCCTTTGCTTTTTCATTTTTGTTGCAGTTGTCATTTATCTTATTTAAAATTAATACTCTTTTTTTTTTTTTTTTTTTTTGCATTTTTCTTTTTTATCGGTACCAGGGATCGAACTCACGACCGCCTGCTTGCAAGGCAGGTGCTTATGCCGCTGAGCTAAATCCCCAGCCCCAAAATTAATACTCTTTTATAACAGTTTTAGGTATATGAAACACGTTACCAGAACGTGTATATTCTGTCTTCTGTCACCCAAAGTTTCTACCATTATTAACACCTTGTGCTGCTGCGGTACATTTGTTATGGTTGATGAACCAGCATTAATACATTACTGGTATTAATAAAAGTCCTACTTGACATTAAGCCTCAGTATTTGTGTTGTACAGTTCAGTGGGTTCTGCCAAGTGCGTAACATCACGTATTCACTCCCATGTGTCATACAGAACTGCTTCCCTGCTCTAAAAAATGTTCTGACTCCCCAGCCATCCTCGCCTTCATCCTTGAATGTATGGCAACTACTTCTATTTTTATTGTCTTTATAGTTTTGTTTTTGTAAGAATGTCATGTGATTGGAATCATAGGTTTTATAGCTTCATAGTAATATAGCTTTTCAGACTAATTTCTTTCATTTAACAATATGCATTGAGGTTTTTTCCATGTCTTTGTGTGTCTTAATTGTTCATTTCTTGCTGTCAGTGAATAATAATGATATTCTATTGCATGAATGTACCAGTTTGTTGATCCATTCACCTACTGAAGGACATTTTGGTTTCTCCCAAGTTGTGCAGCTGTGACTGAAGCTGCTGTAAATATTCGGGCATGTGCTTTTGTGCGAACATAAGTTTTCAATCAATGTGGCTAAATACCTATGAGTGTGGTTGCTGGATTGTTCAGTGAGGGTATATTTAGTTTTATAAGAGACTGTTGAGTGGTCTTCCACAGGGGCTGTACGATCTTGTATTTCTGCCTGATATAAGTGAGGGCTCCTTTTTCTCTACATCTTGGCCACCATTTGATGTTTGCATTTTAGATCTTAGTCTTTCTAAGAGGTGTGTCATGATATCTTAGTGCTTTAACCTTCTATTCAGATTACACTGAGCATCTTTTGATGCTTATTTACCATCTGTGTATCTTCTTTGGTGAGTGAGGTGCCTTTTTTGAGATTTTGCCTGAATTTTAATTGGGTTGTTTTCTTACAGGTGAGTTTTAAGAATTTTCTGTGTTTATACTATTAGATAAGAGCATTTTATATGTGTTTCAAAAAGGCTTTGGCTATGACTTGTCTTTTCATTCTTTTAATAATGTCTTCTGCAGAGTGGGAGTTTTTAATTTTAATGAAGTCAACTTAGAAATTTTCCCTGCATGGATTGTGCTCTTGGTTCTATATCCAAAAATTCATTGCCAAACTCAAAGTGACTGGGAATTTTTCTATTTTCTTTTGAAAGTTTTATAGTGTTGCATTTTACATTTAGGTCTGTGGTCTGTTTTGAAGTGATTTTTCTGAAAGGTATAAGGCCCATCTATAGATTCAGTTGTGCACATGGATATCCAATTGTTCCAGCACCATTAGTTGAAAAGACTATCTTTTCTCCATTCAGTTGCTTTTAATCTTCTATCAAAGATTGGTTGACTATATTTGTGTGGGTCTATTTTTGAGCTTTCTATTTTGTTCCATTGATCTATTTTTCTACTTTTTCATCAATATCACGCTGCCTTGATTACTGTGGCTGCTTTTTAATTTGTTTTATTAACTTGCATTTTTGAAAAAGGATTTTGATACATTGTAATTTCAGTTAAATAGGAAATAGGAAAATTTTAATAAAAAGATAAAAATTATATAACATTTTTAAAGTGATTATTCTCCCAGAGGCTCCATTCTTTAAAAAGCTGGAACACTTCTAAAATAGAATAGCTGGAACAGAGTTATTACAATAGAACCAGAACTGGCCTGTGGAGTTTTTACTTGCTGGCAGCAACATTGACAACACTGAAAATCTAAAGTTTAGGTGGGGAAAAGTATTAAAGGTGGGTTACTTTAAAATATGACTGTCTTCCTTTACATTTGTGGTGATTGGTTATTTAGTTAGTATGGCTTAGTAATGCACAGTTTATTGGTGACACATCCTAATACTTTAGTTAACTATTTTAATAATTAAACCATCAACAGAGAGTTTTTTTAAATATATATCTGTGTCAAATCTGACCATATCTTTTTTAATTTTTTTAGGTCAATGATGCCTTCCTTCATATTATGCAACGCAAATCCACAGGAAAGGTGCTTCTCTCGCTCAAATGAAATCTCACCTCAACAGCAAATTCAGCATGTCCAAATTGAAACACATCTTCTCCCAAACCTGATTTCCCTCCTGGGTTTTTAAAGGTGTTATCAACTTTTTTTTTCTACTAACCCAGGCTTAAAATCTTATAGTCGCCTTTGGTTCTTTTAAAATTACTTATTATTAATATGTTCATAGAGGTTATTGTTCAAAATTGAACTTTTGTAGGAGTAAAGATGCTATTAGTAATTACATCAAGAAAATATGTCCAAGGTAACTGGCATGCCAGCCTTATTCAGATGGATCAATTGCCTTGTCTGTCAGTCCCACTACTAAGATATCTTTTACCTCTATGTCCTCTTTTCCATTCTCTTATGTCTCATCTACAATCTCCAGTGACCACCTGACTGGTTTTCCTATCTTTAAACTACTGCTGTCTGCTTCATCCTTGTTATATATTATTTCCATGGGGATCTTCCCAAACCATAGCTCTGATTATATCTTTTCTACAGTGACTCACCAGCGCCCAAACAGTGGAGCTGAGACCCCCTTGAAGCAGCACAGCACTATGATGATGGTTTTTCTCCTCTGCTTTCTAGCCTCATGGTCCACAATGCCTACAGCATGCCTGTGTTTTCCTCATTTTTATTTGATCATGAAGTTTCCCCTACCTTTGTCAACACAGGGCTTCCTGACCTGTAAAGCCTACATTCCCCACGTGCCTTAATCCTGAGTCGCAATCTCTTATTTTCCTCTTCCATTTCTGTAGCTGCTCCTCCCAGATTGTCACAATCTAACTTCTTTCACAGGGAGCAGCCTGTGTAGTGGGATGAGCACAGTGAACACGTGTGAATTCAAGATTTGAGTTGGAATCTCAGCCTCACCTGAAGTGGTTACTTAAAAGCTCTGCACATTCACTTTCTCACGTAAAGTGGCTATTAGAACATTAACCTCACACAGTTGTTGTGAGCAGTACATGCAGTAATTGGATAAAGGACCTGGCAGAGAATAAATGCTTAGCAAACAGTGGTTATTTGCACTTCTTCCTCACCTTTCTCAGGGTATTGGAAATTCCTTGAGAGCAGTGACACTGTTTGATTCACCTTTGTGAATTTTCACACCTCCTAACATAGTGAGTTACTCTGGTAAATTTGCAATAAACTGAATTGAATTTGAATTGCCTGCAAATCTTACATTGTTACATTAAGTAAAATATATATTGTCCTGCAAATAACCCAGATGTTCGTTGATAAGTGAATGGATGAATATGGTATGTATATACAATGAACTATTGTTCAACCTCTAAAAGGAATAAAATTCCTAAACATGCTACAACATGGATGAATCTTGAGGATACTGTGTGAAATAAACCAGACTAAAAAAGGCAAATATTCTATGATTCCATTTGTATGAGATACTTAGAATAGTTAGATTCATAGAAGCAGAAAGTAAAATGCTGATTGCCTGGGGAAGCGGGGAATGGGGAGTGACTTAATGGCTGTACAGTTTCATTTGAGAAGATGAGAAAGTTATGGAAGTAGATAATGGTGATGAATTCACTAGAGTGGGAATATACTTAATGCTACTGAACTACATCCTTGCAAAGTTTGCAACGCAAAAAGGATAACATAAAATGGTAACTATTATGAGTGTTTTTTCACAATTAAAAAATTTGTATAAATGAATACGTTACCCTCATTTATGATAGAATTGATTTAGGAAGGAGAACAGAGAGTGTTTACAGTATGAATTTACTCTGAAGGAAACTCCAGTCTCTGTTCTGGAACGTGGTCTGTGGGCCCTATACTTTTGCTGGGTGCCAGGGTGTCTGCATTTTGTAGAAGCCTGTGAATGTTGGCCTTTTCCTGCCTGAGTTAGCAGTGTGCAGCTATGAGTCACTTGTTTCTGATGGATAAATAATGGATACTCTATACCTGGGGCCCCTAAACTCCAGACTACTACTGGTCTTTGGCCTGGTGAGAACTGGGCTGCGTTGGGGTGAATGAGTGTTAGCCAAGAAAGCAAATCTTTACCTGTATTTATATTATGGCCTGAGCTCTTCCTCCTGTCGGATCAGTGGTGGCATTAGAGTTTCACAGGAGCATGGACCGCATGCTGAACTGTGTATCTGAAGGATCTAGGTTTATGTTTTTTATGAAAATCTTATGCCTGATGATCTGAGGAGATGATGCTAGTACTGGGGAGTGGTTGCAAGTACACATTGGCCTTAGCAGACAGTTTTGCATGGAGACCATGATAAATCAACTGCTTGTAGACTCAATAGCAAAACCCTGGCAGTGAGTAGCTAGCAATTCTGCATTATGGTGAGTTATATAATTACTTCATTATGTATTATAATATAAAAATACTAGAAAGAAAATGCACAATAAATGCAATGTGCCTGAATCATCCTAAAACTCCACTGCCCATCCCTAACCCCCATCTCTTACCTCCACATCCTGTCCATGGAAAAATTGTTTTCTCTGAAACCAGTCTGTGTTGCCAAAAAGGCTGTAGACAGTTGCTTTACAATGTACTCTGTTGCTAAGATATATGTCTGGTAGATTAGATGTATGAGATGCATTTTCAACTTGTGATGGGTTTGTGGAGACATAACCCCATCATAAATTGAATTCCATCTGTACTTTATTCCTCTTGTTATAGGGATGATAATTGTCAAAAAAGGAGACGGTGGGGCTAAGATGAAAACAGGTCCCTGACTCAAGAGGGATATAGATACTTCTGTTTATTCTTCCAGTAAATATGATAATAGGTGTAGTTTTCTGATAAGTAAAAATAACTGACTCCTCAGGATCTCTTCAGCAGAAGAATTTTTTTAGGAATAGGATTGTAAGATAAGGATGAATATTTGCCAGGCATGGTGGTATTTACCTTGTAATCCCAGCATTCAGGAGGCTGAGGCAGGAGGATTGCCTTAAGTTTGAGGCCAGCCTGGTCTACATAGTAAGTTTGAGACCAGCCTAAACTGCATAGTAAGAACTCATATCAAAAAGTGAAAAAATTAAAAAATTAAAAAATTAAAGCACATTTGGGAAAAGAGTTTGAAACTTAGAAAATAGCATGAGGTGTGTGTGCGGGAAATGTCAGGGAAATCATTCATGAGTCTGTTTGGGCCCACATGGTATTTCCATGAGAGCCACAGGACAAGCTGTTGCCTCTTCTGTGCCTCCTGGGAGCTTCCCTGTGACTCCTTGAATATGCTTTTCCTCACCTGCCTTCTCCCAGCCCCACTTCATCTTCATGGGAACTATTTTTACATTTAAGTGAAAGTTGGTTTTAAAAAATCTCAAGAAACTCACTGTGAGAGTCTGTAATTTTAAAATTACTTGACACCCTTTGGCATCGTTGAAGACTAGATGGATGGACCCTGAGAGAGAAGGAAGGGATTCAGTGCCAGGACAAACATGTGAGCCCAGCCAAAAACTGCCTTCTTCACTGTGCAGAGCTGATCCAGAGGTGTCACAAGCAATAAAGATCAAGTGTCCCTAAGTTCACTAATGTCGGAATGACTTAGGTGGAAAAAGGCAATCATTAAGGACAGTGAATTTCTCCAGATTTAACAAGTATTGGTTAGAACCTCCAGTGACCTGCTCTCGGCTTGCTTGTCTTCCTGCTTCAATGGAATGATTTGAAAGCATTTGACTCATATCTTAGTCATTGTTTGGTGGTTCTACCATCTGAGCCATTAGTCTGAAAAAAGAATCAATGCAGCTCCCAGTGACAGTATTTATTCTATATTCATAGACTTTTCCAGCTCTTCTTGTAGGCTGCCTGCTGGAGAAATCACACCCACACACCTGCCTCTGCTTTTTCAGTAACTGGGCCTTTCCACCTGCACACTCTTCTCTCATCAACTGAAGTAAGCTTTCAGCCCTAACTCAAGGAATGAACCCATTACCACGTGACCACTGCAGGTGACCCTGCTCCCTCCCCTGTAATTCTCAATAATTCAGAAAACTATCTTTTCTGCTTGAGCTATGGTAAAGGCAAAAGCTTTGTTGACAAGTGAAAGGAAACAGAGGCGATTTACACACTCACTGTAGTTAATAGAAAATGTACATAAACTAAGAAAAATTCATGCTGTTCTTTTATTTTTCCTTAGAAGATTATATAAGAGGATTGAAGAGCAGTGATATTTCAACATATTTTTCATTCATAAGGTCAGTAAGCAGAAGACTTAACTGAAGCCTGGAATTTCTAGTTGTTTTCTTCATTCTTAGAGCTTATTGCTAAATTGAAGATCTGAATTAGATATCTGCTAGTTCCTGGAACTTTATCATTGTCGAGGAGTCTGAGGTCTTTTTTGAACTTATTTAAAAATGGCCAGTTTCCTGAGCTTTAGTGACTTGCATCATTATTTTAAAAATGGCATTGTTAACATAATTACAATATTTCACCGTTGTTGAAAAGTCAAGCCACCTAGAAGAAGGAATTGCTATTATCCTGTTTTGCCCTACATTGTCTTGTTCCTATTCTCCAAGGAAACCACAGTAAGCAGCTTGGGTTGCAGAACACACAGGTTTAAAAGTAATATATAATATATATTATATATATAGAAATTAAAAATAGTATGTGGTGTTATTGGCTTATTTGAATTATTGCAGTGCTAGGGATTGAACTTGGCCTCACAAATGCCAAACATGCAGTGTACCACTGTGCTAGCTACATCCCCAGGCCTAATGTGCTATTTTTAATCTATAACATCATGGAGATCATCCATATTAGCAAATATAGAGTGCTTTCATTGTGTTTATTGGCCATTTGGTGTTGTGTAGTGAGGATGTATGTTGTATGTAATCACATCCTTACTAGTGGGCTTTTGCACATGCACTTATGCACATGCACTTATGCACTTATATGCACTTATGCACATGAGCAAAAGCTACAAAATTAGTGGGAGACAGACATTAATCTAGTGCACAGAACCATGCTCAACTCCAAGGCCAAGTAAGGTAAAATGGGGGACTCAGTTCAGGGAGATCAAGAAAGATCCCCCTGAAGATTGCTTGTTGATCCTCTACCTGATGGGAGGGATCTGGGAGTTTAAATAGGGCAGAGGGATCTTCTAGGCTATGTGGGCTATGAAATCATGGCAAGTGAAAGAAGCTAAAAAGGGCTAGTGGGCCTGAAGCTACAGAAATTAAAGCAAGTGTTTTAAGAGGATGCTGAAGGTGGGGATCAGATTAGGCTCAGGCATTTGTAGGCAAGTTGTGAGTGGTTTGACTTCACCTTGAAAGCCACTGAAGTGTTGTAAGCGTGAGAGGGGAAGGGGTGATGTCACTATGATGGCATTTTGGAAGAATCTACCCAGCATCAGGATGAGAGGGGATAGGAAAAGAACGGACCAATGAGTCCAAGTCCAAATGAGAGAGCCTGGTAGCTTAGAGTATGACGGTAATGAGGGCAGAGAAGAACAGAAATGGAAAGAAAGGAGAGCTCTGCAGGAGACAAAAGGGACAGGACTTGGTGTTAGATTGGCTATGTGGAGGGCAAAGGAAAGGAGGAAGAAATGAATTGGGAGGAGGGAAAGAGAATTGAATTTTGGCAGTTGAGAGGAGTATATTCGTGCAGAAAATTAAATTTTCCACATAATGGAATATCCAAGAGGTGTCAACTATTTGGGGTTCCAAAGAGAGACATGGCCTAGAGATACAAATCTCAGTTATTTGCTTGGAGTTGATTCTAATACCCAGAGTTTGGCTGAGATGAGCCATGGAGAGTGCAGAATGAGACAGGCAGAAGGTATAGACCAGCCATGCTTCATTTTAGTAAAACTACAGAGAATTTCATGGTTGTGCTGCAGGCCACCAAAGAAGCCTTGAGATATAGATTGGGATTTAAAGTAAATAACTTGTAGTTACAAGGAAGATTGTACTGCCCTATGGTGAAGGCACCATTCTCTTGTTGGAGGATAAGGTACTGGGACTCTAATTCCAGCTCCGTATGTTTACTTTGTTTTTCAAGATAGTGTCTCACTGTAGTGTAGTCCAGCCTGGACTTGAACTCTCTAAGTAGCTCAGGCTGGCCTCAATTTGTGATCTTTTTGCCTCAGCTTCCTTAGTGCTAGTGTTACAGGCGTGTGCTGTCATGCCCAGCTCTAGCTCTTTGATCTTGGGCTATACTCATCTCTTTCCTTTTTTAAATGTTAAATGTAAGAGTCATAGTGTGTTTTTCTACCTTGCTGGTAGAAATGATGATACATGAAAGTGCTTTGTACATTGTCATTTTCATAATAGATTACAAGGTTGCCTAGTGCTAGTGTGTATGAATTTATTTTGACATTGAAGCAAAGATGTGTATTTCTTTCAGCATATATTAGGCTGACACAGAGTGATAGAATTGTTTGATTTTTAAAATGTCTCTCAAATATTTTTACAGTTTGGTTGAAGTCATCCTGCTCTTTCATACAGAATAATACTTAAAGTGATGGTGGCCTGGTAATCTGATGTACTTCAAAGACATGCAGAGCCAGGCAAGGTCTAGAGAAGGACAACTCATTTGATCAAGAAGGTAAAGAGCCTTTTTTTTGGATGAAGCATGATAAAAGAATTAGGGCTTTTCATTCTAGAAAGACTCAGGCTGAAAGAGAAATATGATTGAAATTTATAAAATAATGAAAAACATAGGATAAAAATGAACTTATTGAATCCCAGAGAATAAGAACTAAGGATAACTTTATCTTTTTAAAGGAATAGTTGCAGGGCCAAGTAAAAATAGCACTTCTTCTTCTTCTTTTTTTTTTTTAACACAGGAATAGTAAGCATATAGAACTTATTACTCTCCAAGTTTACTGTGACCAAAATCAAATATTACAAGAAGAAGATTTATATTGTTAGAGGATTCATAGCAGATTATAAAATGAAGCTAGACTTATTTGGTTAATTTTTTCTCCTCTTAGAAGGTAACATCATAGAGAATGACCTTAAGCTTCCATCAAAATGGAATGGCCAAAGAGAATGACCATTAAACATTTTTATCCAAAACAGGATTCCTGATTGCACAGGCTGGGGAGCAGAGAGCACAGAATTTGGGCAGAGTGGGCCTAACTGCAGGTATTAACTCCATGACCTTAGGCTTCACTCATTTGTTAAAAAACAAAGCTGGATATGGAGGCACAGCCACATGATTCCAGCGCTCTGGGAGACTGTGGCAGAAAGATTGCAAATTCAGGCCCAGTTTAGGTAATTAGCAAAACCCTGCTCCAAATAGACAAACAAACCAACAAACCTGGGTTCAGTCCCCAGTACTGAAAAAAAAAAGGGCAGGGGTTGGAGTTGGGGGACAGGTGATAATGTTAAAACCTGCCTAATTATTCTGAGATACAAATGAAGTGATTCTGGCAGAGCTTTGTCATTGATAAACAGATTATTTTTATGAACTTGAGGATTTCCTCTTCAGCTCTGGTATTTCCAGTTTTATGCCCTCCAGGCAGGTGGACCTTCACCTTTCCCTTCCGGGCTCTGGCCTCACTAGGGAGCAGTATTTGCTAACTCAGGAAGACAGGACTGAGAAGGAGGAATAGGGGCTCTGGGGAAGTGGAGGGTGCATATATTTCTGTCATCACCATTTGCCAACTCAGGAAAGATCTGATAAGAAAATTAAATGTAAAGAGACCTTTGCAAGCACCTCACTTCAGATTTGGATGTTCCAGTGGAAAGATATCACGTCCAAGACTGGAGAGTTTTGGTTTTGAGGTGACTTTGAGGTTCTTAGAGTTCTTAGAAACTCTAAAAATGGCTAGATTGGAGCTAGATTGGGCTACCTGGAGCCCCGTGTAGGTTTGTGCCTGTCTTAACTCAGACCAGTGGGGATCTCTTTTCTTCTGTGCTGCCTTTGATATGACACAGTGGGAGACTTTGCAGGAACCGCTCACTTCCAGGTGCTGGGAGGCATGTTTGTAAGAGCTGAGATTCCTTCCCTCATTCCTGGTGTCTTTGTGTTGATTGTGAAAACTGCACAGAAGTTTGCTGATTTGCCTCAAAAACCACGAAGTAGCCCTCAGAATATTTCTTTCTCAAGAAAAATAGCATGTTCCATTGGTGCTGTGTTCAGCCCATCCAAGGTGATTACTTAAAAGATTCCCTTTCCTTGCTTTTTGTTCTGAGGATTACAGACAGAAGTCAGTTGTGAATGCCAAAAGAGGTTTTCTGAGTTCCTTTCCCCTCCTTCTCTGAAGAAAGCATCCAGCCCAAAACCTTTCTATGAACCAGTGGAACTGTGCTGAGCTTCTCCTTCCCGCCTGATAGAACTGTGCGGGACTGGCGGTGGCTGAAAAGATAAGAAGTATGAAATATAAATGACCTTTATTTTGAGAATGCGGGGAGAGACACCCCTGATCCCCTGGCGCTCAGCATCTCCCCCCAGGGTCAGCGATCTCTCTGTGGAACACGTGGAGTGGAGGCATATAAGTAGCCTAGGTTTGGGGTGGAACCTAAGGGGCATTAGTGATGCACAGGTAGCCCATTGGTATTCTTTTGGTGCCATAGGCAAATTCCTAGGGGTGGGGGAGATGGAGCTCCTTGGTTCCGCCTGAGGCTTTACCAGCTACAGTGTCCTGTCTGGCCAAAACTCTTTCACTGCCTTCTCTCCCTGCTCTGGTCTCAGGTGGAGTTTCTGATGTGGATTCCAGGCCGTGTTCCCAGTTCTAATGGAGTCAGGAACCTCTGTGACTCCCTAGGGACCCCTCCTTGCAGCTCCCATGTCAGGGTCAATTATCAGGTCCTGCTCTTTGAGCTTATACCATTTCTGATTTATTTATTGATTTAATTTTAATCCTCTCCTTTAAAGACCTTCTTTTATAAGTTAAAAATAACCACAAGGAGACCTTGTGATCCTCTTCTCACTGACCCAGATAGTTTAAGAACAGATATTCTAAGAGCCCGTCAGCAGTTTCTCATCTGGGGACGTTGGCTGGCTCTCAGGAGCCAACCAACTAAATGTTATAATAAAATATTAATCCTATTTCCCACACATAAGAGATACTTTTTTGTTTGCGCTGACTTTTCCAGACCTTACTCATCCTTTCATGAGCTGTAGAGAAAGCCTGGGACTTGGGGATTAAAGAGTTGTGTTCGGTTTCTGTTTTACCTGTAACCCTTCGTAAAACAGGGATGCTGGGAATATTGAGGAGTAAGAGTTGAGGGATTAGGTTTGCAGCCATCCTGGTGACTGGAGCCCAAGGAATGGGCCAGAAAGAAATACTTGTCAGACTTGAGCAAGTCCAGTTTGTATAAGCTTTGAGTAATTAATCTCTCCCATTTTTGAATTTTTATGTTATTGAGTTTATCTACACTATATAACTTAGTAACTAATAATAAACAGTCTATTTTGTAGCTCTAGGTTTGTTTTTGTTTTTACCATCCCCACCTGGTAGATACATTTTTGCAGGATAGTGTTGTGCATTTTATTTTTCTTGTGTCAATGCTGCAATATTAGGCGCTTAATCATAATTGATTGGCAGAATGCATTATCCATTTAACTAAATTTGGGATTTATAGTACAACACAGGTCATTGTCTCTGTCTTTATCTGTCCATTTTCACTCCTTTCTGCTAATGGCGAGATAGCAGGAAATCTTTTAGGCTTTCATTATCTTGTCAATTTGTGGCTGCTCATCAAATATATGCAATATGTATATTGAAAGATACTGCTGACCTTCCCTGAGAGGAAAGTTTGTTTGAATTGTTTGGATGATATAAGGTTGGGTTTTTCCTGAATCAGCTTTGTTCTCTCCCTCAGGAAGGTTTGGCAGGTATACACCTGGTCAGACCACTATTTCTTCTGCTTGGACTAGGAGGTCTATTAAGAAAACCATTATTTGCCTTCTTCTGGTTGAGGTGGCAAGTTCTGGGTGAATTTCATAGTGGCCCAAACAGCCTGTGTTCTTTATGTAAGAATATTAAACCTGATGGCACGTCACTTGCATGAACTGTCCCTTGTGGGTTGAGCTGTGTCTCCTAAAAGATTTGTTGAAATCCTGGCCCTTGTACCTATCAATATGCCCTTATTTGGGCATAGGATCTTTGCAGATGTAATGAAGTTAAGATTGACTCATACTGACTTAGAGTGGGACCCTAAATCCAAAGTCTGGTGTCTTGATAGGAGAGAGAGATTTGAGCACCCACAGAAGATGGCCATGTGAAGGCAGAGACAGCAGTTAGAGCAATGTAGCTTCACATCAAAGGATACAAAGCTTGTTGGGGCCTGCCAGAAAGGATCCTTCTCCAGAAGATCAGAGCCCTACTGACACCAAATTTGAATTTCTGGCCTCTAGAACTATGGAAGAACAAATTTTTATGGTTTTAAAGCGCTAAGTTTGTGGTAACTTGTTATGACAGCCGCAGGAAACTACTGCACTGGCTAAGAGCTTAAATAAAATATAGTCATGCTATATTTGTTGTTTTACATAAAAATGCTTCAGTCATAAATATCACACTGATCTCATAAGATTATAATGGACCTAAAAGATTCCTGTTGCCCAGGGACTCAGTAGCCATTGTAACATGATTGTAGCACAAATGTTATTGATGTGTTTATGATGACACTGATTGAATTTATTGTGCTACCAGTGCACAAAAGTATAGCTTGTACAATCCCATACAGTAAGTGCTTGATAATAGTGATGTGCGATGGTGTTACTGGTTCATTAGGCACATGCTATACTTTTTATTGTTATTTTGCAGGATACTCCTTGTACTTATGAAAACAGGTTGGCTAAGTGTGCCATGCTGTACGGACAGCAGCCTCATACATTTTGGGCTTACCACCTCTTTTGAGGCCATGTTGAATGAGTGACTTATAACGTCTAGGTTTGTGTAAATGCAGAGCCAGTCTTTGTCATCAGTGAAATATGACTCTACAAAGGGAGGCTCTGGTTAGAATTGATTACTGACTTGCCCTGAAGTGCCCTCATACTAACCCTAGCATACGGTTATCTAAATATTAATTCCTTCTCTCTTACACACCTAGACAATAGCTCCTTAATTTCATCCCTGATTCTTCTGATTCCCAAATCCTTCCTTTGTATTTTCAAATGTTGAAAACTATTGCTTTATAAGCTTGTTGCCCACAAGTGACTCTTGTCTGAGTGAACCCTAGATCTTTCCTGGGGACAGAGAGGACCCTTCTTAACTGAGCTGGGGCCTGATGGTGGGATAGGTGTCCTCTCTGCTCCTCACGGCCACTCCTAGAGATTATTATTCCTTCTTAACTCTATGCTTCTTGTGTCTCCCACTCCAGACCCATCCTTGAGGCACAGGCCATCAGAAAACCCACACACCTGCCATTCTGCAGTCATCTATATCTGCAGTTATTCCTCCTTCCCAGTGAAGCTCTCCTGGCCCACTGGTACTCTTCACCATCACTCCTGGCCTGACTTGGTGATCGCATGGCCCAGCCTTCTTTCATAATCCTAGTTGCAGTGTGAGTTCTCTGGGACTAGGGCCGGGGATATAGCTCAGTGGTAGAGCGTTTGCTTATCATACTTGATCTTCAAGAGAAAATTATTTGGGGCAACTCTTCTCTCTACCTCCCCCTGTTCCCAAGCAACTGAGCCTGGATGTTTGTGAAGCTATATATATATATATATATATTTTTTTTTTTTTTTTAAGAGCTCCCGGATCATTCTACCGTGTGGCCAAATTTGAGAACCAGTGGTATAGATGATCTAGTTATTTGGCCTCTTGGATCCTTAAGTTTCTTAGTGCTAATAACCCCTTTTCCCATCTCCCATCTTCTCCTACTGTCTTTTTCTGGGTGATGGCCATTACTTATACAGTGAATTTTGGTTCAGCGAAGTCACAGTTAATGTCTCTAATCTGATGATCTTGAAGGGATGTACCTATGCCACCCAAAAGATAGGTATTTGGGGGCTTATCACTCATTGCATTTCCTACCTTTTATTCAAGAGTTTAGTGATGTGCAGACCACTCTAGCAACTTCCTCAATTTACCCAACCTGTCTGAATCAGAGAAAATGCAGGCTTTTGAATATATGGATGTATGTTTGTTGCACATTTTCCAAATGTCTCCCTTTTTAAACTAGGGGAAATATATGGAAGTGAAATTATAATGTCCTAGGATAAAGGTCACAGATTCTCCATAAACTAAGGCCCAGTATTGTTTGTAATAACCTGAATAGTGGTACCTGTTCTAAGAACATGTACAATACTCATGGATAATGTGCTCCTCTGCTTTAAATTCTCTTACTATTCCTTTTATCATTGACCTCTTATCTCATCCCTCTTCCTAAAATTACTTTTGATTTGTCTCTTGACTTTTCATGGCATTTATTGTGGACCTGATACACTGGGCATTTATTTATATTCCATTGTTATGAATTTCTATTTGCATCCTTCATTTCATCTAGTTGGGTAATTATTAACAAGATAAAGGATAGTTAACTACTTGCAAGAGAGGATGGCTAACGTAGACCATATTTAACTATTCTTTGCATAAATTTAAGGAAGTACTTACATTTATTAGAATATGCTTTACGTAATTATGGTAATTTGGGTTGAGCAAGATCTGATATTATTCATAATGTTGTGGATTTCTGAGATCCAGAAAGCCCCAAATTGTACTATGTGGCCCCAGGCAATTATTTCTCTTCTTTGAATCATCAATTATTTTTGTATAAAATGATGTGATGAATCAGAGATCAATGCAATGGTATGAATATTTATGTCCCTCTAATTTTTATTTTGAAATCCTGACAGCTAGGTGATGACAGCAGGAAATAGGAACGTTTGGGAAGTCAGCAGGTCATGAAGATGAAGTCGTCATGAATGAGATTGTGCCCTTATAAAGATGCTGGCAGGAGCTATCTTGCCCCTTCTACAACATGAGGATTCAGTGAAAAGACAACCACCTATAACGGAAGTGGCCCTCACAGCGCACCAGATCTTCCAGGGCCACACTCTTGCACTACACAGTCTCCAGAAGTGTGAGAAATGAGTTTCTGTTGTTTGTAAATCAGCCAGTTCAGGCTTGTTTTGCCAGCTTAGGCTACTTTGTTTTGTTAGAGTAAGCCAGACAGACTAAGGATAAAATCCTTTTGGGAAAAAGAAGTTAGGATTCTACTTCCTATTATATTTGTAGCTGAAACTAAAAGAACTTTCCTTTTTAAAAAGTTTTGTTTTTTGGTATTAAACTTGGGATCTTGTGCTTGCCAGGCTGTGCCACTGAACTGTATTCCTGGCTACTAAAAAGTTATTTTAGAACAATTCTATAGTTTAGAAAATCTACTGAAATCAGTCTTTTTCCCCTATTTAAGTTTGAAATTGAGAGCTCCCTTTATTCTAGCTAAGACAAACATGTACAATATGTAACTTCTGATTCATGCATATCTCTACTTGATACATAGCCATTATGATGAATGAAAATCATGACTTTCCTAAACTTATCTAATGAAAATCTTCTGTTATTCACACAATTAAGATAATTTAATGTATAAATATATTCATATACTTTCCTTAATTTTAATTAAAAAATGTAGCGAGGAAATTCATAGTGATGACTCCCTTATTTTAAATATGTAAAATGAGTTAGCTATTTAGTCATTAGATAATAAAAGTTTTATTTTCCAATTTCTGGCTCAATTGTTAAAATAGAGGAATTGGCTGGTCAATTCTAAACCCCGGATCTCGGTCAGCATTTTCTTAAATGATTTCTGAGCCAGCCCTGGCAGTACTGTGGAGGCAGGCTAAGTGCTGTCTGTCAGCAGCAGCTCTGTGTGGACCTGCGCTCGGGGTCCCTCACGCTGTAGTGCATGTCATGAAAACATGGCGACCTACCTCCAGCCACAATCCTGAAGGAGGGGCAGGTGATGCGGGGGATCTGGGCTAGGTGAATGCTTTATATTCTCTTTGGCATGGCTTGTCTGTTCCAGATAAGCAGAAGAACATCTTCAGAATCTTGAGTTTGTTTTGAACTGAGAGGAAACAACTGACATCTAATTAAGATTCAGGAGGGCGATCAGAAGTAAGAATTCAGGCAAGTTACCACTTGCAATAGCTTTTACACAACAACAACAACAACAACAACAAACACCTTCATGGCTGCTTCTGATTGCCCGAATCAGTTTTTTCTGAAGAAATTGAAATACACTCAAATATACAGAGAGTAAAGTAAAAGTCATCTTAATCCCTCTTACTTTAAGATAGCAAATTAACATTCTGTGTACTTATGCATACATTTCTTTCAACATACATACCACTCATGATGTGCCAATTCTATAGGAACAGGAAAAGCCTTTAAAAGATGTTACTTCCATCTTTACCAATACTTCCTTTAATGGTTTCCCTTTTTAAAAAAGTATTATTGACTTCCAGGAGTGTATCTTTTATTACTTTCATCTATACTCATACATAATTTTTTTTTGTCTTTTTCATTTTTTATCGGTACCAGGGATCGAACGCATGACCGTCTGCTTGCAAGGCAGGTGCTTATGCCGCTGAGCTAAATCCCCAGCCCCCTCATACATAATTTTTACATATAATTATGTACATATATTATGGCATATGAGTTAGTGTGATTTTTTTATCCATTGATGAGATAGAATATTCTGTAAGTCAGGATATAACTCTAGTTTATTGTTTGTTATTAGTTCAATGTTTAACAACACAAATATCTCACAATTTAGTCAACTATTTCTCTATTCATGAACAAAATATTTTTCGGTTTTTGTCATCCTAAACTCAAATATTTTTAGTGAACTAACATCCATAATGCTGAGTCCCTAAGTCACATGTTTTTAATTTTTGATCCTGATTTTTTTTCCCAGTTAACCTACTACCATGATTGTTTAGTAAGCCAATACAATGTATTTCTGTTCTCCTTGGAATTCTCAGTTAGAAACAAAAAGGTGTATGTGTAACTTCTTTTTGTAATTTCAAGTAGTGTCCTTTTTAAAGCAGACCTTCTCAATATGGTGGTCAGATCATGTTTCCAGCCTTTGGAGTTACACACTAAATCATTCCGTTGGGAAACTGTTGCTGAAACAGACAGGTTCTGTGTGGCTGACGTGGCATCACATTTTACAGTGTCTGCCAGATGTGAGTAACAGCAGGCTGTCTTGGTGGGATGTAGCAGAAGCAGCAACAGTAACTTCTGATTTAGGGGCAAAAGGTGTAAGTACTTATTTTCACCATTAACCAATTAACCCAAAACAAATTCAAACTCAAGAATGCTAAGAAGGAATACAATTCCCACTAGAGATCTTTCTAGCTGATTCGTTTGTGAAGCATTTGGTATTAACTAGAAGAAAAAGGCATTAAGCCAGCATACAGTTTCAGGAAAATGAAGAACTTCTAGGGTCTTGTTTGAAAAGATAAAACTAAATTCAACTCTGGCTAATGCTACTTTCAAATCCTAACTCTGTGGCATGCCTGCATACCCTGGTGAGGGCTGTCCCCTGTGGGCTGGAATGCATGGCTAACGTGCATATGATTTCAACTGACACAAAAATTCAGGCAGGTTTGATTACGGTTAGATGAAAGGAGGCTTAGCAATTATGGTGTTCAGAGGAAGAGAGCCTGTTAAATATTTTAAGGAGAATGCAAGCTGGTTAAAGTTGATTTAGCAGCGATGTGGAAACTTCTGTTCTCAAGCTCTATAGTTGAGTAGAGGTATGGTGCTTGCCAGCTCTGTGACAGATGAAGCCCTGGCACAGATCCCTTTAGCAAGAGGTGGCTGTGTGACTGCTGTTCCCAAAGGCCTCCATTTGGGAAGTCATATCCAGAATTCCTGGTATTTTCAGAGTTCATAAACCATGTGTTTTTGTGTTGGTAATGATTTTTCTTTTTGTTGAGATTCTTTACGCTGATCTTTAGGTCTGCACAAAACCTCACAAATAATCATTAGTGTTCTATCCTGAGCGTAGTGAAATTATTGACCAGCAAATATTGTTGATTGTTGCCTCTATACTGGGGATACCTACATGAGCAAGATGGACGATGTTGATGGCCCTGTGGAGTTTTCAACACAGCAGGAAAAACAGATGTTATGAGAGGAGGCATGAACATGAGGCTTGGAGACTGGAGACCTGGGTTTGGGTTCTGGCTCTGATCCCAATGAACCATATGGCACTCTGAGCTTCAACTTATGTGCTATGAAATGAGTGCTTTGGGATGGATAAGCACTTCAGTAATTGATTCCTCACCTTGTGTGAGTTTTCCTCTTGCTCTATAGCTTCTCTACTGGGCATTGGATTTTTTCCACATCCATTTTGCGGGTGAATCTCACCTGTCACCAAGGAGGCCCCATGGGACCATGATATTCTGTAACAGAAATTAAAAGGATCCTTGTAGGTGGGCCCCTTTACAATATGACTTTTGTAGGAGGAAGGTTGCTTCCAAGAAAGATGTCTTAAAGGTAGTGATTCTATATCAATGCATCTTAAGTATTTGGAATTCTGTTTTTCAAATGGTTAGTGATCACAACAAGTATCTTTGCTGCTGCTAACCTTTGAAAACTAAAGACATAAAAGCCTGACACTAAGAAAACAAAGTTGTTTAAAATAGATGTGACCTACAGGCTTATGTTCAAAAGAAATCTGAGTCAAAAAAATAAGGCATGTTGTTTCAAATAGAATAGAGAATACCCACCATTAGTGACTGTGTGGTGCACCTTAACTTCCTGGAACTTATCACCTTTTCTCAGTTATTTTTGACTTTGAAAACTGTGGGAGTCTCACAGCATGTTTTAATGGCAAAATAGATATAGTAGACTTAACGTAATTATTGTGTGTATTTTTCTCTCATCAACCTTAGCTCACTTTCAAAATTAACTATACAGGTATTCGTATATCATTTGCTACTCCCTTCCTACTCAAAGGCAGAAATGTTCTTCCTGACCCGGGATGTAGCCCCTCTTTCTTTTCTGGTACTGAGGGTTGAACTGAGGACCTTTCCACTGAGCTATGTCTCATGCATTTTCCATTTTTTAAAAAAACTATGAGACAGGATCTTGCTAAGTTGATGTGTTCCTCAAATTTGCAATTCTTCTGCCTCAGCCTTCCAAGTGCTGGGATTATAGGTGTACACCATCAACCTGATTCAGGTCCGTTCTCTTCGATCATTTATCCCTATAGCCTCCTTAGAGAACACCACACTCATCACTGAGTTCTTTTATTCATTCTTCATTTTTAAAAAAAATTTTATTTTGAAAGTATACAACAGAACAAGACAGAATAAAGCCAACTAAGATTGTACAGTGAAATTGGTACAGCAGGTTACCGGGATAACAAAAATAGGTATCACAGTATATTGTGTTATCTTTATAATAGTTGTTCTTTCAATCATGTATATCAAAATGAGCTGAAATATAGAACACTTTAGAACTTATTAAAACAGAATATTAAGTAGAGCAGTACCATTAATCAGAAAAGAGCAAAACAGTAATAAAAATATTTGCTTTCAAAGAGATGGTAGAAGGAAGTCTCCCTTATTTGCTATGTCAACCTCCCAGGAGACACTCAGATTTCTGGTTCCCATTTGCTAATGGGTGGTGGGGTGGGGGGAGAAGGGGGATAGCAGAATGGGATATTTGGTTCTAGGCCATGCAACAGGATCAGTAGGTTCACTATTGCTTAGCAAGGAGGCAGGCTGGTTGTTTGGTTTCACAGCATCCTAAGTTCCAACATGGCGTGGATCTCAGGAGCTGCTGCTGGTTCTCCCCCTGGAAGGGCTGCATTTTGCCAGACCACCACCGCTTAAAGCCTCTTCTTCATATCGATTTTGCATCTTAAGTAAAAATATCAACTGTTTTCTATTTTATACCAATCAGCAATCCAGCCAATGAATAAACACAATTTCTCCTTACTGTCCTCTTCTTTTCCCACCCTTCCTCCAACCCTATGGCATTCACAGACACTTTCAATTCTGACATGACTTGATCTTTCCTTGTATCTATCTTTTTATCCTTGCTTCTTTTTCTTGACACTCTGTGATTATCTTACTGCAGTTCTGGCTCTGCCGTCTCAGTCTTCACTGACTTCTCTTTCTCCTCTTTTACTTTCAACTGTTCCTTTCTTGTTTTGGATCCTGTGCTCATCCCTGAAAATCTCACTCATAGCCCTGATTTTAATTAGGAAGTGTATGCTGATAATGCCTACATCAAAGCACATACAAATCTTCAGGAAAGAAGCCAGGGATAAACAGATGAGCACTACCCACTACAAATGAGTGTTACCTTAATCTTCTCTTGGTGATCCTGACTCCTAGCCACCGCCTCAGACATCTCCAGCACATTGTCTTGTAGGATCTCCAATGAATGGATCTTTCTGCATAAAATCTGCTTCTCCCAGTAAAATGAATTTCAGTCTTGATCAGGGCCATCATCATTTATAGTCACCAGCCTAACCATGTAAATCCAACTAACCTGTCCATCCTATTTATTAAGTGTCTTTGCCATCTTTTGAATCTGACAGCCACAACCTGCTCATCCAGTACCTTAGGTAAAGTGGACAGTGGTATCTCTTTCCTAAGACAGCCTGCCTCTACCCTGGCACTACAAAAGCCTTCTCTGTGTTGTTAATCGTGCAGTTTTTCTGTAATGCCACTTGATGATGTTATTTACCTCCTTTGAATCTCTCAGAAGCCCCTCATAGTCTTTGACAAGCATCTGAAGCCTCCACATTGCAAGCCCAGCTTGGCTGTCTGACTTTTTCCACATCATTGAATGAGCACTACTTTCTAGCCTGACTTAGTATGGTGCATCACAAGAACCCAGCCAGCTGAACCTCCCCTCTATACTTGGGGATTTCCAGTTCCTTTTCTGGGGCTCTCTTTCCTTCCTGAATAGCCCAATTAAATTTTAATTATCCAAGAGTGTTCAAGGAGTGCTTTCTTCCCCAAGAAGCTAAGCTGGCACATATAATAATCTGTGTAATCTCTACCCTGACGCTCACCACACTTAATTAAAGACATTAGCTTATTTTATTTGCCTCTTTAGTTGAAGATGAAAACTTATGAAATGTCATTATATTTTTTATTTCTGTATTCCTAATGCCTACGGCAGGCACATAATGGCTAATTAATAAACTATTATTGAGTGAGTAAATGGAGAAACAGCCACCTGCAGCTCTAGGGTGACATTCTGTTTTCTCGGCCAACTCCATGGGAAGCATTTTTCTTCCTCTGTAGTTCAAGCATGAGTTGCTTGTTAGACATGTCTCTGGACTGCTGAATTAATTGCTGTGGTCAGTGGAATGCAAGACTTACTAAACAAGTCTGAATTTTGTGCCTATTCTTAGAGCAAGGGACAGGTTGGTTCCTCACATTATGCACAGGTTGAGATGGGACAGGAGAGTTCGCCAAAGGAAAATTTATTGCCAGAAGCTTGTGGTTGGATGCTGGATGGGCAGGAGTTGCAGACACTCATTACATGTGTGTACAAGCAGCCTAGGTACGGTGGGGAGCTGGGTACCTACACCTCTCTCTGTGGCTGGGCAAGGCTGCTAGGATAATCTCTTCAACTGAGTTCTCAACTCTGCTCTTTGTGTTCCAGGCTCAAACCGCTGCGTTTAGAACCTGCTGCGTTCAGAACCGCTGATGAGGCTGTGTGTGCAGCAGGCCTTCCTTCACTTTTGGTCTGTTCTGTGCCCAGTATTCTGTCCCACGGCACATTCTGTCTCACTCTCTTTCCCCTCCTATCTAGGACTGTCTTTTGACACTGCTTATGTGCTGTGAAGCCTTGTCTGACCAGGATTGACATCCGAGAGATACATTTCATCTGCTTTCTCTTATCATCCTCTATGGGTACATACCGTTAGAATTACCTGTTACCTGTGTTTTCTTAGGCAGTAAACTCATAGAAGATAAGGAACACATTCACTTTGTTCATTTTGCGTGACTTTAACTTAACACTTAAAATGGTGCTTAGCACATGGCAGCCACTTAATAAACAATGATTAAAATACTCATTTTTCTTACCTGTTTCTTAGTCATTGAATAGCATGAACTCTTTTGGGTTCCTTCCCTGTAGTTTAGGGGTTAGCGCCTTCTTTCTAGGAGCTATGGAGAATCTGCTCATATGAGAGAAAAATAATTGTATTATAATGAATAAATGAATTAATATGTCTTAAATATTATTTATTGAATGAAAGAAATAATTTTTATTGTCCAAGAGGTGAAGTTATATCCCAGTTAGATTTAGTCAGTGACCTTATTTATTCAATGATTGACATCCAGACCAGCACTGGGACATATGTCACAGTGTCATTCTTGTCATAGGGCATACGAAGTGCATCGTCGGTATAAAGGGAATATTTGCAGTGGGCTTGTTCAGAAACTGCATCACAGAGGCAAAGTCAGGAAGGGCAGTAAGTAGGTACTCAGCACGTGCTCTCACTTTATGAGAGGCTCCCAGAAAACAGCACCCTCTGGCAACTGCCTTTGCTATCACTGCAGACATGAGTGCTTTAAAAAGAAACTTCTCCATCATCTGGTTGTGCCCTCTGATGCCCTTCACAAACTGCAGCTTGAACTCGGTGTTGGCATCTTAAGTGGCTCCTGTGGAAATTGCCCCAATGTGCTAAATTCAGCATTAGAGCAGCACTCCTGGGGAGCGTCGCTCTGTTTGCAGGCACTTGTCCCAGACTGAGGGAACAGGGGACGTGAGTGCCACTGAGACACGTGTATGCCTCACGCTGCACACACACAGGCTATTTCTGTACATGGAACAGTGGGCAGAAGAGCAGAACACAAAGTGGGATGAAACTTTGTTGGCTGACAAAATGAGATTGGAAGAAAATACAGAAGTCTTGGCATTCTTATTTTTTATAACTAAATACCTACCTATCTGTCACCAGGTTGAATATGTCTATTTATGCAGGCTGATAAGTTTGAAGGTTGTAATCTTTGAATTCACATGAAACATTTTTAAGTAGTTACATTTTTGTGTTAAATATATCACATGGCTATTACTAAGCAGCATGCTTTTTTGAACAAAAACATTGGATTAAAATTCCTGTGATTGACTTTTCTCCATTTGATGACTAATGCTGATGCACTGTGTGAGTTTGGTATAATATATTACCCTTTCTGGTCTTGCTTTTATTGCTCTTACAATGGACGAGCTCTAAAGGGGCTACATGGTAATGAAATAACAAGCCAAGGACATGTATCTCTGGGGAGAAACTATGATTATAGTGGATTATCATGATGAGAGAGAGAGAGAGAGAGAGAGAGAGAGAGAGAGAGAATAAATATTAAGATTAGATTATAAGTCAGTAATAAAATATAGGTAAGATAACTGTTCAATATGAGTTACTATGATAAAAGCTAAATAAAAAGATGTATCCTGCACTCTGGGAGGCTGAGGTAGGAAGATTTCATGTTTGAGACCCGGGCAATTTAGTGAGATCTTATCTCAAAATAAAACACGAAATGGACTGGGAATGTGGCCCAGTGGCAAGGCCCTGAGTTCAATCTCCATTAATGCAAAAAAAAAAAAAAAGTGCCCTGGACAACGTAGAAATAGACACAATTTTTTGTTGAATACTTATAATGTACAGGTACTTTGCTCAGTTCTTTCCTAAGGTCATTCATGTATTCATCAAATTTTAATTAAGCATCTATTGTTTTCCATAAATGGTATATTATCTCATTTATTCTATGACAAACTTATGAAGATATCTACAATTTTATACGCATTTAATAAAGCCTGAAAAGATAAGTAATTTGCTTAAGTGTCACAGCCAATCAGTGGAGGTGATGGTTCTCAAATCCAGTTCTGACTGCAAATCTTGAGTTCTTAACCACTGTAGAAGAGTACCATGCTCCTTAGCTTTGTGTATAGCTTAGCTTGTCATATTTTTAGCAGAATGTGAAGAACCTGGAAGAGAAAGTCAAAGACTCATTGAACACCCTCTCCTGGATTTAATAGACCCTTCCTTGTGTGATTCTTTCAATAAATCATTTCATTTCATCCGCATCAGAGCCCTTTGAAGGGCTTTTCAGATTTCATTTTAAAGATGAAGAATCTGAGGTTCATAGAGAATGGTTGATTTTTCCAAAGGCACACAGCTGGGAAATAGCACAGTAAGAACTAAATCAAAATTTCAATTTCTGTTTTTTTTCCTCTAGATTTTTGCTGCTACTCAAAATGATCTAGATAGTTTTGTAAGGCAATATAAGCATACACATAGACACAAATGCCCCGTCCCAGTTAAACTGAGAGAGACACAGGATTCCTGGGGCCCCTGCAGAGTGCTGTTTAAGGCAGAGTTGTTATACAGCCCCAGAGAGCTCCCCATGCTAAGGTTCTGTAAATAAACGTGCAAACTAGCCTTGGCTTGAGTCTCACTGGGTTAGACTACCTTTCCCGTAGAGATGGACTCTTTCTGGAAAGTCTTTCCAGAAAACACTGGCTTTGTGTGTCTCAGTGTTAGCACTTGTTCAGAATGTGTCTCTCAAAGTGTTGCATCTGGGGGACAAGTACCACTGCTCTGTTGTCTGAGCAGCCCACCAGGATTGTAACTCAGCCCTGATAATAAAGTAGAGGGACAAAAGAAAGGCACTTTATTTGTTAAGAAGAAAAGAAGAGAGAAAAGAGAAGATAGATAGCCACCCTGATAAGAAAGAAGCAGGGCAGGGCATTCTGGAAAGAGGAGGACCGTGGGCCCTTTGACTTTAGCTGTTTTTATAGGGGTGTGGGTGACCCTTTCTCTTCTACCTGGACTTTGCTGCAACCAGTTTGGCTTTTGGGCACCCCTGCCTATATACTTTTTTTCTGGTGGTCTATGTGTAGACTTTTTAAAAACAAAATGTATTTGGCTTTGTTTTGTTTTTTGGTTTTTGTTTTGGCACCAGGGATTGAACTCAGGACTTTGTGCTTGCCAGGCTGGCACTTGCGCCACTAAGGTAAGTCCCTCTTTTGATGTATTTTTTTAAGGCCTTATTTTTGGGTTAGGCAGCTGGTTGACAAGGGGGTAGCTTATTTACTTAGACTTAGTAAGGGTGTGAGTGGGTATCTGTTGTATTCTATAATGACCCTAGAGTGAATAATATAGTGACTCTAGAGTGAATACACATGTATATAAGTGTAAATGTTAGTGCATAGGTTTGAGTACATACTGCCTTATAGTCAGTCAGCCTTCACTTTTTACCCCATATTTTATCGGAGGTGGGGGTTGGCTTATCATTTGTGTATCTGGCTTTCTCTCTGTGTCCTGCCTGTCAGCTCTTTTTCTGGTCTCTTGATGCAAGTCTTAAGACCATTTGGTGCCTTTAAAAAAATTTTTTTTTTCCCTTGACTTTGACTTGCTTCGCAGGGGAGTCTCAGTTTGTTTTTAACTTCATCTAGTCAGGATTAGCTAGGAGTCCTAAAAAGGCCCCTATTTTATTTTCTCATCTATAGACTCCTGTGCCTACAGTAGTTTCCCATTGAATGGGAGGGAATAACTTTTAGTGGTGCAGGGTATATGTGTGCGTGTGTGAATGAAAGTTCTTTGGTGTCATATCTTAAAAATTAAAAGTGGATTAAAAAGAATTAAAAATTAATGCAAATAGATTAAAATACACGTGTGTTCTATAAGCTAAAATTCCATTTTAAATTGTTTACAAAAGAAAATGAATGTCTACTCTGTGGCATCCTGCAATTGTCCCTGAGTCTACAAATACTCCTGTATATAAAAAGCATCAGACTACATTTTATTAAAGCTGCTCATTTTAATGTTCTCACCTTAACGCATTCTTTTGTCTTGTGTAACCATGTGGCAGTTTCTCTATTTTCCTTGATCTCATGGCTCAAGGGGATACTTTGTTAAATGTCAGGAAAGAGATGTAGGTTTCACAATAATAGATGACTAGTTCACACCTTACTGATGACTTTTACGTACTATCCATGAACATGGTAACTGTTAAATGTGCTGATCTGACAGATAAATTCCAGGCTCTTGTGTACAACAAATAAAGTATTGCAAGCACACATCAAGTAGGAGCAGCAGCTGCATTTATTGAAGACGTAATCAGGGCAGGCCCACGCTGGCCAAAACAGAAAAGTGGTGTCAGGATGAGAGGAAAGTAAAGAGCACACAGCACACAGATAAATCAGGCTTTAAGAGTTTAAAAAATGTGCAGCCTAGCCCTGGTGCCTGTCATTTGATCTGTGGGGTAAGAGTGACAGGAATGATTGACAGGGTGCTGAGTCATCTTCAGGAGCTTCTAGTGCATGGGACGTTCCAGAATTCACCATTGTTTAATTGTAAACATGAGATGCACCCCGTATTTGTAACCTTTAGTGAAGTTCGAGTGAGGAAAAAGGTTAATAAAGGTCAGGCTAGGCGGTCGAAGGAGCTTGTTTTCAAGTGCTCTCTCCTAGAGCTTCAAGTATTTCCTGGGCCTTTGTTATTTTTCACCTGTCTTAAACAGTGGAATGAGGAATGGCTCTAACATGCTGTCCAAACTCAACCAAGTAGTCTCCCAGCCTTGCTGTATTACCTGTACTAATAACTGTCAACATTTATTAAACATTAAACATGCCAAGTAATTTATATGTTTTTACTATACTTTTTGCCTTGTAGTAACTCCACCACATAGGAAGCTCTATTATTATCTCACTTTTACAGATGAGGAAAAGGAGACCCAGCAAAACTTGCACAAGTTCACACAGCCAGCAGATAGGGTAGCTGGGATTCTTACCTAGGCAGCCTTTTTCCAGGATCACAAGTTGCACATCTCCTCTGGGACATGTACATCCTCTGCAGCTGGCAGAGCCCCCCAAAAGTGCCTTATTTCAACTAGCTGGCGTGTGAGTCACCTCTGCATCTCGGAGCTTGATGTGAGGTCAGAAGTCACAGTAGCATTCATGGGCTACCCCACTCATCCTGGTTCAGGGAACACCACTAAAATGGGAGGAATGAAAGAAAGGAGGAGTCAGGCTGATAAGAAGCAAGGGGTCGTTCTTGAATGGTAAAGCTCTTCTCTAGCTCTTGGCAGCAGAGGTGAATACAGCGTCTGGATTGATAGCGCTTAGAGTCACTCGTTCAGGCTCATCCTCAGAGTTCCTTGATCATGCAGGAATCCTGCAATTGTACCCAAACTTTTACTCCTAAGACAGCCATAAGAGTAGCAGTCACAGGACTGGCAGTGAAGGCTTGAAGTGTTTGTGCCAGGCTGTCTTTCACACAGGCACCATTTTTTGTCACTCTCCCTCTCCTGATTAGGAACTGCTGATGGCACTTGCTGCTCTGAGTCTTGGCTGCCACGTCGCTCAAGAAGGGGTTAGAGTTTTCACAGCCCATTATGGGCTGAGGCCACAAGATCCCTGTCTCCAAGACTGGCTCTGGGGAGTGGCTTTGCTGGGAGTCAGGAGGCTGCTCTCCACTGAACCTTCACCCCTTGACTCCTTCTTGGAGTCAGAGAATAGGATGCTCAAGGGTTGAAAAGAACCATAATAAAACCATGCCGACTAATGAATGCAAACATTATAAGACTTCAAAGCAATGTAATGGGGAATCATGATTACCATGAACTCCTATGTACTCTTGCCATTTCTTACACTAGGGAAACTATACAGTATTTATACTGTGAGTTTGATTTATTTCGCTTATGAGTATGGTCTCAAGTTGTGTCCATTTATAATAGTTTTATTCTGTTTTGTTTGATTTTGTTATCTGTGATAGTATGAACAGCTATTTTGAAGAAAACAAGACATTATAACAGCCATTGCTGATTTGATATTATCTTGATTTGAAGTCCTACCATGCTTTTGTTCTTCTGTTTCCATTGGTTCTATCACATTGTGTCTTGTTGGATTTTAATATGTGTGACAGTATAAACAAATTTTTTAGGAAAATGAGATAATAAAGTAGCCATTGTTCATTTTCTGTTATTTGGTTCTGAATGCCCTGTAATATGTTCATTCTCTTGAGTGATTTTATACTATTTTGTTATGTTTGATACTACTGTATATGAAGTTATGCTCAACTATTTCAAAGAAAGAGACATTACGGTAGCTACTGTTAATATTGGGTTGTCTTGTGGTGAAGTACTGTGTTGCTTACATAGTTCTGATCTGCTTTGTTCTGTCCTCATTTGTCTTAATCTCTTTAAAATAAAAAAAAAAAGGAAAAGAACCATAATGCATCAGATGAGGGCTGAAAATGCAGGTGTGGAAATTATCCAGTTGTTTCTACTTTGGCAGAGAGTTTTAAAAATTTAATGTTTTAAATTGATTTTGTAAAAATGATTTAATGTTTTTACTTCATTGTACTGCTGGAGTGTGTTTCTTAATTATAGTTAGGGAATGTGATTTAACAAGGTATGCAGATAATTTGTGTCTGTTTCTGTGTCATTCGTGTCCCACCTGATAGCCTTTTATCTACACTGTGGCCAGCCCCTCTGCTCAGTGCCACAGTACTCTCTTCTGCTCTCTCTGGAAACACCTTTTCAAAGTTTAATTCAATATTCAGACTGTGAAAACAATAGGATGTAGTCACGTAGTGCAAACTGTTGCTGCTGTACATTTCAGGTGTTTATAAATTAAGATGTTACCATATGACAGAAGCTGTGTTAGACACTGGATATAGCATGGAACCAGGCACAAAAGGTTGGTATCTCCATAGAGGCTAATGTCTAAAGTCAGCCTACAGGTCTAATAATTTGTACATTTCTAGTCCACTTGTTATTCGAGGCACTGTTCCTAATTGAGGCTCATTCGTGTTTTCCACATTGGCCATTCTATACTTTCATGATGTCTCTCAAATTCTTTACCAAATGTCCAAGGTACCCAGTGAGACTTGAAATTCTACTCCCTAGAGGGGAGTAGAATATGCTTGACTTTTCCCTATTCCTCACCTTCTATAGTGAACAGAGTATCAATTCATGTGATTCTATTCTATTAAAAATATTGTTTCTCTTAGTGTTTATATATTTGGGCTTTATAAATTTGTAGTAAACCTGCCCTGGATCCAGGTGGATATTTGCAACCATCAGTGTTAATCTGCTGGCTAGATTCTTCTCACATCATTAGCAATGATATTATTGTTAGAAAGATGTTAAACTAAGATACTATCTTAGATCAGGCTGACAGAATGCCATAGACTTGGTGGCTTAAAGAACCAAAATTTGTTTTTCATAGTTTTGGGAACTGGAAGTGTACAATCAGGTCCTGGAAGACCCGTTGTATGATGAGGACCTGTGTTTTGGATTACAGATGGCTGTATTCTGGTTGTATCCTTAGATGACAGAAAGCAAAAAATAGGAAGAAGCTCTCCTGCGTAATTTCTCCTAAGAGTTATAAGGGCACTAGTCTCATTCACAAGGGCCATTCTTATGACCTGATCACCTCTCCAAACTCTTATATCCTAGTATCATCACACACGGAATTAGAATTTCAGCTTATGAATTTAAGGTGAGGGGAAGACATTCACTCTGTGGCAGGTGGTTAGTTCTGTTTGAAGCAGGACCCTAGACAGAGTGGTTGGATATTATTTGTTCAATAGTTAGGATGCAGAGCAGGACTCAGCCATGAGGGCAGGATACCAGGGCAGGAATAGTGTTAGGAATGTAACTGTTTGAGCTGAAGAAGCTCATGAGATCATGCAAGCAGAGATTAGCGTGGCGAAACTAATTCTAGCCTGTCTCCTGGTGGGGACTGACCTTCTAATATATTGTTTAGATGGGCAGGTTTGGTTTAGAGATCTGGAAGAATTGAGCTACCAGGATGAAAGACTTAGCAACTGTAGATACAAGAACTGAGGGAAGGAGGGACTGATAAATCTCAAATGCTTTGGAGTGGTGAAATCGCCCCACAATCTATTTCGTTCTGTGGCCTATATAACTGTTGTGTGCCATATGTCTACTTAAAATAATTAAAGCTAATTAAAATTAATTTTGGTTGGTGAGTGTTTGAAGAGTTTTATAATAACTCTTGAGATAATTAGAGATGTTTTGGGATGTCACAAAAGGAGCATTTGGAGTAGCTGAGGAAGCGTTTAAACCAGAAATGTGCAGTGAAGGCTAGTAACAGAATGACAATTCTGTAATTGGAGGAACATTGACTTAGGAGTGAAAGGGTTATGCTGGTAAATTGGTTTTCTGAAAAGCAAACAAAAACAAACAACAACAAGCTGGCTTTGTAGTACTTTTCAGCTTCTTTCAGTTTCTAAGGTGTGAATATTTATTTCAATCATAGCACATTCCAGATTACCTGTGGTTTACTGACAGGCTCATACATTCCTGAATATTTAATAATCTGCTTTTGCAAACCCTGTGCAAGGAAGCTAGAGCATACTAATAATTCTCACTGGGCTTTTGCCTACCTTTGTGATCTTGGGTATATTACTTCAATTCTGTGGATTTTAGTTTTATCATCAAAAAATGAAGTGGCTAAAATAATCTTATGGTCTTACCCAAAGTTAGCATGATAACCATGCAGGTGATATTTAAGTCTAATGCCATGTTACATGTCAAAAGAATTATATCCGATTTTTGAGACTGATATTGTGATATTTCAAACCCATATTTTGATATCAAGTCATAATCATATTATGTATCATTATCAACAAAATTTTGATTCCTGCTGTCATTGTATGTGTTCTTTTTCAGACTCTCTTCCAAGAAGGCTTAACAACAGCAGGGCAGGCATTGGTGAGCCAAACTTCACGGCCTAACAGCGAGCTAGGACCCAATTATCTGTAGTCTGAGAATTCTGCACTTGGTTGCTAGGTACTAGGAGTCAGGTGAGGGACTGAGAGAAAATCTTAAGGTTCAGCTACATCACCTATTTGACCATGAGACCCAATAGTGGTGGTTTTCCCTGGACTGGTAGCTACATAGATGCTAATTCGCTCTAAACTTTTTGAAGGCAAGAATTTTGTCTTTCATATTATGTGTGTTAGATCCTGGCACGTGATAGCAACTCAGCAAAGAGTTTCTTGAAAGAAAAAATAAACTATTAGGCTTCTAAAAGAGCAAACTGAATTTTAAAACATGCATGAATGTTGATATATGCTTCTCCATGTTTATCTTAATGCTGAAGAAATGTATTTTTCAAATGTGAGAAATACTTTCTTGTTATAAAGGTTTTCAGTGCCACAAGTTCAATACTGAGCCTTTCAATCTTCCTTCCAGATTGATAACAGTATTGATTATATAACCAGAACCCAGTGGAGAGAAGCATGAGAGAGAGAAACCCATACTGGGCAATTAAGGTGTTTTACTCCTCACCTGTGAGTACCCCATTACTTTGATTGGTGGAAATAGCTCATCTCTTTGGAAAGGAAAAGATCACACTTTTATATATCATGTGATACTTCACTAATATTTAATCTGCATGATGATCTTCATAAACTAAGCATTATTATTCCCATTTTCAAGGAGAAAAAACTGAGATTCAGAGAAGTGGAGTCATAGAAGCACTCTGTGGTAGAGCCTGCAGTTCACATCTCAAAGGCAAGCTTTTCTCAGTAGACCAGGCTGCCTCAGGGCTTCCTGGGTTTCCTCTCTATCTAGTGTCTCTCTTCCGTGTTTGCTATGGGGATTTGGATGCGTTTTCCTGTGAGTGACCTGGCTCAGCCCACAACCAGGCAAACAGAGACACCAGCCTCTCATAGGGTGCTGAGTATAAATGTCAAATCAGAACTGTCCCAGTCAGAGGTGGCTGCAGTGAACTTTGCCCTCATGAATCAGCTCCATGGAGGCTGGGCAGTTTCAAAGGTAATTAAGTGGCTATGGATTTGAGGGCCAGGTAAGTCTTGGTAGATGTGGCACCTGGACTTTGACAATCTCCAGGAGGGAAGGAGAGGAGGCACCTGGAGTAGTATGAAGGACATGGGAAGCTGCCAGAGCAGGTTTGTGGGCTAGCTGCTTCTTTCTCTTCCCTGAGTTGTGTTTGCTGGGCTGGCAGATTAGAAAAGGCAACATTGGCTTTGCTGGGATCTGGGAAGGTCACTTATGTGACTGCTGGAGTGTGCTTGCTCTGTCACCATAAATAAGAGTTCCTTCATTTGGAGAATTTTAGGTGTTTTCATTCTGGTAGACTGGTGCCTGAGGTTTAACTTACTGGCATTGGTGAGTCTTGGCCACAAAATGATATGCTTTCAGTGAAGAGATAGCATATTATGCCTTTGTGGTTGGGCATGAGTTGGTTGATGAAAATCTTGGGGCAAGGAGAAAGCAGCTTTCTTCTGGTTCTGCTAACTTGTGTTCCAAAGGAGCTGATTCTCATTGGCCTTTAGGAAAACCTGTGTTCCCTTGCCCTGAATCTGGGGCACTGGGTCTTTCCTGGAAACTGCTGGCAGAAGCTTTCATTGCACCTAGCTTTTTTTGAGAAAGTGACCTGAATTTCCTTGCGTCTACTGAGTTGTGACTGATGATAAGGTGGAAGGTAACTCTGTGACCTGCTCTTCTTGTGCATTCTGCAGTCTCATTGCTCTTGGCTCATAGCTCTGGATGCTGGCTCTGTGGTGTTGGAGTACAGTGATATCTTGGTTTGGATACATACCTTTATGACCATTTGTTCTGATATGATATTTTCGATGATGCTGGGAGCTTCTAGAATGGGAACAAGTTACTAGGTTTGATCAGAATCTTGCAATCTAAAGTAGTTCCCAAGGAAGAAGAAAGCTAGGGGCTGACCTAGCCTATGTGAGCTGGTGAGCTAGGGGATCCCTGAATAGGCTTAAAGTCTGAGCTAGGCTTTCCCTTGCAGGGGCTCCTTGACGACATGGACAGAGGGGCTTTGAAGGTCATCAGTCCCTGCAGCTACTTCCCATTTTGAGGATTAAATTGGGAAGATTGTTTGATGCAAGGAAGATTTCCAGCTTTGAAAATCTCCAGCTGGAAAGAACTCTTGAGACTTAGGTCTTTATTATCTTATAGTCACAACTATTGGCTCTCTGGGAGAGGAACGGTTATATTATACGGTCTCATTCTTCAAGATGGTTAATGTAAGGATTCAAAAAATATGTCTCTTGAGAGGCAAATAGAGGTTTCTGTTTGTTTAGGAAATATCTTCCAGCTATTCACAGAACCTTACACTTTATCCTCTGATAAGACTATTAGTATTTGTTGAACAGTTTCTGTATGCCAAGCAGTGTTTTGGGTACTTCCCATCTCTCTCTCTCGAATGCTGACACTAACTCTACAAAGCAGTTACTATGATTTCCATTTTATGAGTAAGAAGGATTAAAAAAATTGAGGCTTAAAAAATTAGCTAGCTAGTAGGTGGCACAGTCAGGATTTGAACTCTGAGCTAGCTCTCTCCAGGGCTGACTCTATTTCTATGATACTTCAGCACACCCATAGTAAGTGTTGCATAAATATTTGTTGGTGGGATAAATGAAGAAACATTAATTGGGATTCCTTGATAGCATTTGGTAGCTTCATCTATTAATGTTATCTGCCACCCATGCCTCCCACATCTGCTGTTCCATATGTACTTTTTAATTTTTTAAGCAACATCAATATAATTGCTGAGCCTGTTATTTATTTTATGTATTTGCTCAAGGTTTTTTCTTTTAGATTTCCTCTATATTCATGCCCATACGGTTTGTTTTAGACAGAGTTTTGAGGCTCACAAATTGCTCTTTTCACTAAAGTTAAACAATAATCATGCTTGGATATAGAATAAAATGATTTCCTTCCTCATTTTTTTTTTGGTGTGTGTTTTTGCAGGAAAATAGAATAACTACATAACTGCTCAAAAAACAAGAGAAATTCAGAGGGTTGGGATGGAACCTTGGGTTCCCCAGTCACTGCCTCAGCCCCAGGGGAAGCCCATGGCATCATCAAAGGACCCGGATGGAGGGCTTAGGAGCAGACATCATCGGCCGGTTCCTCACCCTCCACACAATGGAGAAAGGTTCCATCAGTGGCAAGATATTCGTGGGAGTCCACAGCCACAGCAGGACCCCAGGATGGACCAGCCCCTCTATGCATCCAGGCTCCGGGAATGGCCTCGTCCCGGGTCTGGAGTTGACTACTATGAAGATGGTTATCCTACTCACTTGTACTCCGGGTATGGATTTAGGGCTTGGAATGGACCCAGATCTCCTAGATGCTTATCAACAGATCATTCTTTCCCTTCTTTCTTGTTATTTTATTTCACTTCTTTTTCTTTCTCCACTCTACCTCATTGCCTGTCTTCTCCCAGGTGATAGAATTTTCTTCTTCTTTATCCAGGAGCTTTGTAAAGCAACTGTTACAAAGCAACTGGGGATGTGCAACAGGATTGAGGGTAGAAATTCAAGACCACAAATGGAAACCTCTTGCTCCAAGGTTGCAAAAAGCAATGTATGCAGACTAAGGAAAAGCTTTTCTTAGGACCCTCTGATAAGTTGCTTATCATCTTTGGGCCACCCTGCCCTGGTGTTAGCATGACACCACCACAACCAAAAGTGTCCTAGAGCCCAGAACAGTACGGGAGTGTAGTAGACCACACAATGTAAATGCATTACATGAATGAGAACTTTAAGAAAAACAAACCTAAGAAAGGTAGATATCGATGTACAGTTTTTGTGTTCAGATAAAAGAGGCCACGCTGATGTAATTCTAGGTTGGAGAATTGGGACTTCTCTGACCCACAGAATTCTAGTCAATAGCTCTAGATTAAATATCTCATGGAACACTGGAAGCTATTTATGCTCTACTCTAGCTTTTCCAATTAGGATGACATTTAGGCACTTACAGATTTAGCATTGAAATGATGATAATTACCATAAGGAGTTTTGCCTCTGAGATGGTAAAGTATTATTAATACTACCAACATGAGGTTTCTTTTCTTGTTCTTTTTGGGTTATTGAATTCTCAAAGGAAGGTATATAAGGGGCAGAGGCAATAAAAATAGTCCAATTTGACTTTTCTATCTCATTTCAATCCACATTGTGAATGGAAATTATACTAATATATTGGGTTCATACAATCTTCTCAAGAAGGGTTTTCTCAAATAATATCTGGGCAGAGTATTGTTGGATATATGTATTTGAGGAGTAAGAGTTTTACTAAAAAAAGAGTTCTAAATTAAAACAGGTTTTTTAAAAAAAGAGTTTTAAATAAAAAAGAGTTTTACTGTTTTACAGTAAAAATCACAATCTTATTATGTAACTAACAAGGGTCTCTCTTCCTCTTTGTCTGATCTTGGATTCTCTGTTTCTAGGACCCAGAAATAATGGTGGCTTTCAGGACTGGGTTGGCCCTTCTACCCTCTGAAGTTGTTTAATTTGTCCAGTGTTTCTTGATTTTTTTTCTCTGCTGTACTGATCCTCAATGACGGAAGGTTTTTTTGCGATATTGTAGGGCAGGCTACAAGGATCCCTATCAGAGATACCACTCCCCAGCAATGAGGGATGAATACGCTTATGGAAATTACTACCATGGATACCTGCAGCGGCTGCAGGAGGACAGAGGTATGGAACAGTCTCCAAGAAGCTCTGGGAATTGGGTGGGTGGGGAGCAGCTTGCCTAACAGGCAGGACAGAGGCCACTGGTACCATGTGCAGAGCCTCCACTTCGGGCAGATGAGACAACGGCCTGCTCCTGAGTGTCCTGGGCAGAGAGGAAAGGGCTTCCCTTAGCATGTGATGATGGTACAGAAACTTATGGCTGCAGTAGTGTGCATTGGTTGCAACTGCATGCTTTCCTGACTCTTCCTTGTAACCATGGTTACGGTTACTGGTGAAGTCAGTTTTTAAGGGCTGTAATATGCATCTGAATATCAGTTCACTCTCCAGTGGCAGTCATATACCAACAGGAATTTTATACCCTGTACCGACAGGTAAAGGTACAGGCTAATGGTAATTTCTGACCAGCTAGCAAAGGAAAACTTGTTTCAGTGTTGAGTGAGCCTGATCCCCATGATGGAGCACGTGTGTAGTGCCATGTTAATTGGTTCCGAAGGGCACTGTCAGCTCTGACTTATCAATTAGGTGTTTTTTCCAGTGCTAGGAGTTGAACTAGTATATAGCACATGCTAGGAAAGCACTCTACCTCTGAGCTTATTCCGGCTTCCAGAGCAAATATGTTTTCAAGCTTACTGTGCTCCAGTAACTCTGCTTCACAGCTCTTTCTGAAAGAACTTTCTGAAACAGCAAGTGACCTGGCTTTATTTTGTTTTCTCTGAGGGTGCAGTGCCAAGACAGGCGAGTCCTTATGTCTGGCAAGAAGATTATGGAGATCAAAAGTACCTCAATGAGTATAATCATGAAAACCAGAACAGTCCATTTGGAGCAAATAATGAGGCCCAGTTCCAGTAAGTGTGAAAGGGGAGGCCAATTTGACAAGACTCATTTAACTCTGACTCCTTCAGGCCAATCTGAAGGTACCTGGAGGTGACCCCTTACCTCCAGTAGCCTGTCTCCTTTTGTTTCGGTCACAGAGCCGTGGGAGAAGCCTTGGCTCACCCAGGCTGGCTGTTAGCAGGACCCGGGGGGAGAGGTTTTCGTCTCTAAGGAGATGCTTGCTCTTTCACCAGGGCTAGTCTGTGTCCTATGAGGCTACTGGAGGCCATAATCCTATGTGGGCCTCAGAATGGATGTAGCCTTAAAGAAGTTCTTATGAATGGGTCCTACCTGGGACTTCTGCTCACTTCTGGACCCCTAAGTGGAACATGACTCTGGCATAAGGCAGAGCAAAGAAAAGATTTTTGCCCAAGCTTCTGTGGTGGTTCTTTACCTCAGAATTCACCTACCCAAGTGCTCTGATTTAACATGTCCCCACTATTGAACCACTGGTGGTACCTGCATCAGACAGCACGGCACAATCATACATGTACCACCAGTGGTACAAGTTGCCTGATGGGACAGTCATGCAGGTACACTGGTGGTTCAGAGCCACCTGGCAGTGAGACATCAGAATTAACAGCCATTGTGAACATGTTAAGCCACTCCATGATGGAGACCAACTGCTGTCTGTGAATTTGACGCCCCTTCCAGTAATTGTGCCTAGAACCCGGGGATGCCTGTTTTTCTGGGATCAATACATTGGGTAGGGAGTGGGAGGGAGGTGCTTTACCCTGTGGCATCTGTGCTGACCTTAGAGTCAGGACAGCTTCCAGTGGAGAGTGCTCAGCCTTTCTGGCTGACCCAGCACCTGTCTAACCTCAGCTGTCATTTCACTCCAGCTCTACCAGCAGGAAGACTTATAAAGACAGCCCTGCTTCCAGCTCTGGACAGGAGCAGCCCAGGGAACTCCTTCCAGAGAGTCTGCCAACTGCAGCCCTAAAGAATAAGGTAACCTGAAGTGACATGGGGCTGGAGGCCTTTGGCCATGCATCACAACTGACCCACAACTGTCAGCAGTTACCCTTAGGGATAGAGGTGTCCAGTGGCCAGCTGTCTGCAGAACTCTACTCCTCCACGTCAGCAGAGCCTGTCCTTGTGCCCCCTCCTTTCCTGCTTCAGTCTTATGGGTCTGAGATGCTGACCTGGACCCTTTTTTTTTTTTTGTCAAACTGGCCTAGAGAAGAGGCTGCCACTAAGTGTTAGGCGTTAGGGACCCCAGACCACTAGCAATTTGTTTTAACCAGGAGGAAATGGAAAGTTGTTAGAATCTTTTAATTCAGGTTTGAAAAGCAGGGCTTGAAATCTTTCCTGACTCTTTGATCTCTTTCTTCTAAAATCATAATGTGTATACCAACCACGCCACAAAATAGAGCTCCATAAATTTCTTACATATCTATATCCTCAGGGAAAGCACTATACTGGGAGAACAGTACAGCTCATAATGTAGTTGGTAAATGAATATGTGGGTAAGCAATAGGACAATATATTTATCTACAAATGAAGGTATTGAACTGAGGTAACATAAGTCACTTGTTCAAAGTCACAGTAGAAGAGTGTTGTAATGCACAGCTGAGATTTGAATTCAAGGTCCACTGGGATATAGTGCATCCTTCAGTGAAACCCCCTGCCGACTGAATATATCTAGCTGAACATACCCACATTCACCGTATTTACTGGGGACTTTGCATCTATTTGTTTGAAGAATCCCTTGGGAGAACCAACTCCCTGAAACTCCTTCCCGTGTGTTTTCATTGGCTTTTAACTTTCAGCAGTCTTTGACCAGCAAGTCCAACCTTCTCCAGCAGCAGGAGTCTGGTCTGAGCTCCAGCAGCTATGAGCTCAGTCAGTACATGGCAGATGCCTATGAGCCGTATGATCCTGGGGCTTGGAGTCCAGCTCAAGCTGGTGAGTACTAAAGCGAGCGTTGTCACTGATTGAGCCTCATGAGGAATGGCTAGGTGGCAAGGCTCTTGGGAAGTCACCTCTACCCTGTGTTTATGGGGATGAATGATTGCCCCATTTTCTAATGCAGGTCTGCTAGGCACACAAGCCAGGTTTGGCTCCACTTCCCACCTTTTCTCTTGTGAAGGAGATTGCACCATAGCTGGTTCTCAGAAGGGAACACTGCCCCTAGGCATCATCAGGCTGGGACAGGAGGCACCATGGGATGCTTTTAGCAACAGGTGGAGAGGGTGAAAACCAGAGAGAATTGGGAGAGGCAAAAGCAGGGCACAAAACATAACGAACTTGTCTGGTGGTAGGAGATTACTATGGGCATAGAAAGTCACAACTGCGAGAGACTTCTTGGCCTCCGACTATTAATATGAATCCAGGCTGGGTGCATTATCATTTGGATCAAATTATGAAACCCTTGCATTATATTTGGACATAATCTCAGAGGCTTAAGTCAAAGTAGAACATGGATCGTGGGTTTCTTCTAATTATGCAGCCCACCTAGAGTCTTATCTGGGTCTCAGGTGGAATTTGGACAGAAACATATATGGGGCATGTTTCTAAACTGAATAAAACAGTGAAAGTCCAGCTAACAATGCCATCTGTGTCTACTGGTCAGGGGCTGTGTCGGCAGTTGGTCCCATGACACTCATGAAGTTCTACGTCCCTCATGTGTCTGTGAGTTTCGGGCCAGGAGGTCAGCTGGTGTGTGTATGTCCCAGCGCTCCCAAGGATGGGCAGGTGCCCCTTGTTGAGCTGCATAGCATGGAGGTAGGTAAACAAGGCTCCGTCCCTGAGCAGGGCTGGCACACTGCTCACCCAGCTACTCTTGACATCCATGCGCCCCTTTGTCTGAGCATGCGCATCTCCAAGATGGGAGACTCTTGTGGGAACTGGGCTACGTACTCCCTGGATCCAAGGAATGGTGGGCTGTTTTCTGAAAGAAGTGATGCTAGAGCTGTGTTTTCTCTGAGATGCTAGTGGCTCAGCTTCAGCAGGATACCTCATTTTAGTCATTTTGCTTTCTTACGAGGCCAGAGCCGCTCAGTAGGGCCATAGTCTTGGGATCTGATACAGGGTACTAGATGATACCAGGATACCAGGTACAACAGTCTTCAAGACCAATTTGATTCTCTGTTCCAGGTTATTCTTAATGACTCTGAGGACCAAGAGGAGATGAGAAGTTTTTCAGGACCCCTGATCAGGTGAATTACTGCAAGAGTTACTGAGTAAAGGCTCTTAAAACCCTGGAAAATCTTCCTGCCCCAGTCAGTACACTGGGGCTTTATTCTAGGTTTCCTTGGAAGAAGGCATCTATCCCAGTTGGAATAGAGCTCTCTGTGCTGCTGAATAGAACTATAGGTAGCTTAACTATTTTGATAAGCCTTTTGATATTTAGAGACCAGAAGAAAAAAGCTTAATTTGGAAATCTAAAAACTGATTCCATTTTGTAGAGGTTATATGTTAGGGAGTTTTAGTGTTTCTTGTACTTCATAGATATTAGTGGAAAAGGTAGCCTTGGAAATAACGGGTGAGTGGATCACAACAGAAAACAATTCTTGCAACAGTGCCTTTTAAAAAATTTTTTTGAGGTAGAACTGCCAGCTTTCCAGATACTGGACGGTGTGTAGGTCTGCCCTCTGCAGGACCAAACTGGAACAGCTATTAAATGTTGAGTCATGTTTTGGTTTCGGATAAAAAACCAGAGTTCCTCAGTTGGGGGTCTTGGCTGAGTGTCAGGGGATCTGGTTTCAGGGTTCAGGCATCCTACTAACTAGTGCTACCATGATGGACAGGACGTTAGTCCTCTCTGGATATTCATTTTCCCTCTGAGAAAACCTATCCCACACCATGGCAGTGAGAGTCAAGAGAAATTACGCAAGTAATTTCGTTAAATAAATATCATTACTATATAAATATATTCTTAGCCTGAAGCTTCTCTCCCAAGAAAATTCCCTTACTGCATTTGAAAGCTTCTTTAGGTAAAACTAAGTGCTGTCTCTATGTCTTATACACAGGTATGCGGGTGCGGGTGTTGAACTGAGTTGGGTATTAAGCACTGGGTCCTAACTTGCCTTTGATTTATTGATTGAGCAAGTAATTATGTGTATTTATTGAGCACTTGATATACATCATCATCATTATTATTATTATTATTTTTTGTGGTACTGGGGCTTGAACTCACGACCTTGTGCTTGCCAGGCAGGCACTTGTGCTGCTGAGCTAAACCACCCAATGATATACGTCATTCTATTCACTTATTTTTTCTGTACAAAGGTAGGTTCATTTATTAACCCTGTTTTAGGGAAGAGAAAGAACTGAGGATCAGAGGAGGTAAGAAACTTGTCTACACTGAAAAGTGGCTGACTAGATTCAGACGCAGGATCATCAGATTCCAAAGTTTTATCTGATCTTCTGTGCAGTCACTTCAGGTTTCTGGTCCTCAGTTTCCTCCTCTGTAAAATGGAAGGGGTGTCCAAGAGAATTTCTGAAGTCCTTACCTGTTCAAAAGAGAATATCCTCTGGGTACAGGTGCGTGATTGTTAGGCCCTGGATTGTTAGGCTCTGCTCTCAACGGTAGCCCCCTCATCACCTACACACTGTAGGGGACCTGGGTCCTGAACTGGGTCCTGAACTGGGTGGGTCTGCTCACTCTGCTTCCTGAAATCTCTTCACAGGCAAGATGTACACAAGATGGATGTCATGACATTTTGCCAGCAGAAAGCAGCTCAGAGCCACAAATCTGGGACACCAGGGAGCAGAGATTCAGCTCTACTTTGGCAATTGTTAGTTCTTCTTTGTCGCCAGAATGGGGTAAGTTCCTGCTTTGATGGGAGGCCAGGTGCAGGCTGGACTGGAATCTGAAGTATTCAAGATATAGATAAGATTTGGTTTGTGGAATGATTGTGTAAAGCAGTATTAAAGAAGCAATGCATTGTCTTGTAGGGAGAACATTGCTCAAATGTCAATGCCAGTTTGTAACCTGAACAGTTTAGTCATGTTTCGGTTTCGTATAAAAAACCAGAGTTCCTTAGTTCGGAACCTGAACAGTTCCCCTGTCTCTCTTCTCCCCTGGTTGGAGACCACTGTACAGTTCCTGGGTTATTGCACCAGTCAGGTAATACCATCAGTAAAATGTAAATGGTTCCAGTAAGCTTTGTGGCTCCTGACAGGCAGAAAATAATCATCGTTGTAAAGCTGACATTTGAAATACAGTAATCCAAGACAGGACTGCCTTGTTTGCATGATTGTCCTCCTTAGGCAGAAGGGAGATGCCTGGCACCTTCCTTCTGTACCTTGGGCTGGCAGCACGAGCACTAAGAAGACTGTCCTGCTCGATGACCCCTTTTGCCTTGCAGTCCATGGCGGGGTCTGACATTGCTGAGCTGCTGATGCAAGACTGCAAGAAACTGGAGAAATACAAGCGACAGCCCCCCGTGGCCAACCTCATCAACCTGACCAATGAGGACTGGCCAGTGGTGAACACTGGGACCCGGGACCTGCTCACAGGGGAGATCCCACCCACGGTGGAGACGCCTGATCAGATCCTGGAGAAGTTCACTAATCTGCTCTACTATGGCAGAAGGAAGGCAAGTAGGCGCTTCTCCCAGGCTGGTTTTAGACGAGTAACTTCATCCTACCCCATCACTCATCCGTCTTCCTTTTCACATGGACAGTGCACACTCACTTTAGAGCATATGGGAAATTCAGAAAGGCTCCAGGAAGAAAATAAAGATGCTGTTGTAGGTGTTTTTATCTTTTACAACAACAGAGTTAGCATAGTCCTATTACAGGGTAAGACATGTTTCTATTTTGGTATTGCTACTTCTCGTGTGTAGATTAAAAAACTCAAAATTAAATTATAAATGCAATTGTCTATTTCTCTTTTTTGATTTAAGATGTATGTGATGAAGTACCTCCATAGCTTTAAATATGTTCTAATAGCATCATTTTTAAAATTTCATTTGAGATTGAACTTAGGGCCTTGTGTGTGCCACACAAACCCTTTAGCAATGATTAGTAGCACCAGTGGGAAAAAAATTATAGTTAGTCAATCCATTATTGTTGGGGGCTGGGGATTTAGCTCGGCGACATAAGCACCTGCCTTGCAAGCAGGCAGTCATGAGTTCGATCCCTGGTACCGATAAAAATGAAAAAGACAAAAAAAAAATCCACTATTGTTGAAAATATAAACTTATTATGATTTTGTTACCCATTACAAATTACTGCATTTAAACATTTTATTGTGCAAATCACTGACTGATCTTTTTATTGTTTTTTAAAGGATAGATTTCTAGAAATAGAATTTATTGAGTATGGAGTAAGGAGTATGCAGTGTGCAATTTTAAATGTTCCCTCATGTGTGCAGTAAATTAGTTTTTGGAAATGTTGTTTACAATAATATTCCTGTCATTGTACCTCAGACATGCTTACCAATATTGAATTTAACAGGGAATATCTAATTTAATTTGGAAGTTATGCTGATGCTTTGTAAAAATAATAACATTGTAATTTAAAATATTTAATATATGATTAAAATATTTTGAAATCAATTTAATTCAAAATCAAAAGATCAAAGAAATATGAATAACAGAGAAGTGATTCCCGCACTCCCAGCTACCCAGTTACTCTCACTCTGAGATGTACAGATATTTTCGCATTTATGCTTATTTTCTCCTTTTTCTTCTGACATACTATTCTTACGACTGTACTTTCCTTTTTTCCCACTTAAAGTATCTTAGAAAATTAACCTTGGAGTTGGCAAACTTTTTTCCGTAAAGGGGCAGATAGTAAATATTTTAGGCTCGGTTGCCCACTGGGTCTTGTTGTACCGTCCGTCTCTGCCCATGTAGTGGAAGGCGGCCACAGACAGTGTGTAAATGGGTAAGTGTGACTGCATTTCATTAAAACTTTGTGGATATGGAAGCTTGAATTACACATAATTCTTGCTTGTTATGAAGTATTATTTTGGTATTTAGTTTTTACAATTATTGAAAAAATAAAAAGGATTCTGAACTGGTGGGCAGTACCCTAACAGGCAGTGCACTGTGTTTGTTCTTCAGGCATAGTTTGTTATCTTTGCTCTTTATACCATCTGTGTCATAATGTGTACAGATCCCCTTCTATTTCATAACATATATGCCACCTTCCATATCACAACATGTATATATATATATATCTATATATATCTATATATCTATATATATCACCTTCTATATCATAACATATGTATCACCTTCCATATCATAACATATATATATCACCTTCTATAGCATACTATATATATCACCTTCCATATAATAACATATGTCTCACCTTCTATATCCTGGAATATATATATCACCTTCTATATAAAACCTTCCTTGTATTTTATGATTATATGATTTTTCTATGGATAATTTGTAATTCATATAAATCCCTAAAGGTTGGCACTTAGATGTCTTTTGCTATTATAAACAATGTTAAAATGAGTAAGGATTGTCATTTTGCTAAATTTGTGAGAGAATTCCAATTTCTAGAAGTGGAGGTGTTGGGTTAAAGCGTAGTGAGTGTATCATGTTAGATACTGAAAATCTGCCTCTTTAAAGGTTGTGCCAATTTGCTCTACCAGCAGAATATGAGTGCTGTTCTCACCAATCAGAAGTATTTTCAAACTTTAGATGTGTACCAATGTGAGAGGTAAAAAATTAGATGTATATATAATTTGGTGTAGTTATTTGCACTTTTATTATTATGAATGAAGTTGAATATTTTTAAATCTGAAGGTTTTTGTCATGATTTTTCTACCAAATTTTATTGTCATGTGTTCATTTATCAGAACTTTTCATATTTTTAGGACTTTCTGTCAAAATCAAAACTTTTTGGTGGTCATATTTAAGAAACCTTTCGCACACCGGGGGTGGTTGCGCATGCCTGTAATCCTAGCACTCAGGAGACTGAGACAGGAGGATTGTTGTAAATTTGAGACCAGTTTAGGCCAGCCTGAACTGCATAGCTAAAAAAAGAGAGAAAGAGGAAAGAAAAAAGAAAGAAAAGAAACTTTCCCTGATTCAGGATGAATTTGCAAAAATGAAGCTGAAGTACTTTTGTGACTTTACTTTTGTATTTAAATATTTAATCTCTTATCTTTTTTGGTATATGATGTTATCTTTTAAGTGAGCTTGTGATGTAATGTTCAGGAAAAATTAGTGGGACCAACTTACAGCCATCCTTCCTATATTCACTTTATACTGGGAATTATAATTTTACCTGTGGTTTCTTTATCCAATAAACATTTATTAGAAGCTACTATCTCAGGCATTGAACCCAGTGGGACAGACAGAGATAAATACATTGTGAACGCTACCTTTTAGACTGAGTAATGATCATACTAAAAATAATGAGTGCAGAGATTTAAAAAATACTTTCTACATGGCAGGTACTTGCTTAACATCTCACATGCATTATCTTGTTGATCTCCCTAGAAACTCTGTAAGTTAGGCTCTGTGCTTGCTGTGTCGTTTACGGATTAGGGATGTTAGTAAGTGATAGAGCCGAGGCTGCGTCTAGGCAGCCTGACTGTGACCCTCGGCTCCTACCGCCCTGCCTCATCTCCTTTCACACCTGGACTAAAGGTGAGGGGTACAAGGGGTACTGTAGGGGTTCAGAATGAGCAGTGGGGAGCACGACACCAAAACAGTGTTAAAATCGCTGTTCACATTTAACGAGGGTATTATTTCTGGAATTGTGCAAGACTGACAACTTCAATATAAGTTCTTAATTTCTTGGCTTTTTCTTCAATTACATTTTTGGAAGGGCAGGTTTTTGAGTAAACTGGTGATGCCCGACTAAGCTGGAGTAACTCCCTTTCCCCCTTTTCAAATAAAAGACATGAGAAACTTAAAATATATTTCAAAAGTAACCCTTAATGTCATATTTTACTTGCTCTGGCTGTCAGGCTGAACTCTCTGTGACTTTAAAAATTTGTTCCTTGTCTTTCTTTCCCTTTTTCTCTCCAATAAGATTACAATGGAAGATGTTGGGATAATCAAAGAACTTGTTAGTTGAAAGTGGAATTACCCCAGTGACTTGCCACCCATAAATCACACTTTTGGGTGCAGGTACCAAGAAATTTATTAATACCAGTTCAAAATTTTGCACATCAATTAGGTCCTTACTAAATAATTCTGAAAACTGAGTTAAAATTGTAGCTCTAACCCATCTTACTCAATTAATAGCATTACTGATTTGACCTATAGAGGCATTTGATAATTGACTGCAATTAGTTTTAGCTTTAGCAGACAGGGCAACTCCTACATATACTGGCTTAAATATGATGCCTTATGCAAGAATTCTGGTCCCTCCATGATATAGTGAGACTAAGGATCTTGGAAGTACCACCCTACAGTTTCTGAGGTTTCTTAGGAATCTTCTACATTCCAGCAGCCAGATGGATAGAACATATGGAAGACTTGGTGTGGGTGGTTTCATGGGCCAGACCGGGATGTGACATTTGGCACCTCCATGTCCATGCCATGGCCTACACTCAGTCATACCCAGCTGCTAGGCAGACCGGAGAATGTGGTGTCGCTCTTTGTTCAGGAAGAACATGGATTTTGGAAGGAACTATCAGTCTCTGCGATAGTTGTTAAAAAGTGCACTATTCCTTGGAATGAGAGCTTTTCTCATTTTTGGTGCATGGGTTCTTGTAAGGGTTTTGTACCTTCTGCTAAACAGATAGGGCTATCTGCCACCCATGCCTGGGGGAAGGTAATGGAGTAGCATAATGGATGACTGGAGATGTGGACAACCTGCGGGAGATTCCATGCTGATGAGCCTCTGCCTCTCTGCTCATCCTTCTCCTGTGCACGTGGAGGATTCCAAGTCTCCCTGGCAGGCAGGCTCTATTGCTGAGGGTGAAGCTATGCCTGCCTGGGGAATTGGTTGCTTTTTTGGAGAAAGTTGGCAAGGCATTACTGAATGTGATGTTTTGTTCCCAGGAGGCCTTGGAGTGGGCAATGAAGAACCACTTGTGGGGTCATGCTTTGTTCCTATCCAGCAAGATGGACCCAAGGACCTATAACTGGGTCATGAGTGGGTGAGTCCATCTTGTAAAGGAGGCTAAGAGAGCAGAAATGCTCCCCTCCGAATGTGGGGAGGTGATCAGGGTGGGGGAAATGCATGTGGTACAGAGAATCCCATACTCCAAATAGTTTCCAGTTTCTCTTTTCTGAGCCAGACAGCATTTCTTTCCTCCAGATTCTTATAACTTAGAGTCAAAGGCATTCTTTCCATTTGCTAAGTGGAATGAAATATTTTGGTCATAGTTTCCAGAATCAGAATTTCTAAAAACAAGGTCAGTTCTACATTTCACTGATCTTTGGGAGGGGCGTCCTAGACAGTTCCATTAGTGAAGGAATAGGTGGTCATTTAAGTTCAACTGATAAGGCTTCCAGAGTGAGTAAGTAAATGCCTAGTACCTAATGTTGCTGTGGAGATGCATGAAGAGGTTGGTGGAGATACAGGGCAGCAGGACCACGAGCTGTGGTAGCGAAAGTCGTTCACCACATTGCAAATTAGAAGTCAACATCGTGGCTGGGAGACTATTGAGACCGTAGGGGAGGGCTTGGTAAGAAACTGCAAGAGTACACCAAGTCTCAAGTGCCAGGAACAACCCAGAACCAGATAAGGCTCATGCAGTGAAAAAGAATCAGTACTGAGAGGAAGTGGTGGGCAGGGGATGCTGGAGAAGGGTTTCTGAATAAGCTTTAGGCTCCAAAGAGCACCCTGAATGGTAGACGTGAGTGTGTGTGTGTGTGTGTGTGTGTGTGTAAGGAGGAGGCTGGGGCTGGACTGTGAGAAGGTCGTTACCTCTACACATTTATCTTCTGGTGTGCGACCAGGCTCGGAGGTTACCCTCGTAACTGAGGTTTGAATTGGCCGAAAGTCTCATGGGGTGGGGAGCTGGATGAGAAGATGGACCCCTCCTCTTCAAGTTCAGTGTGTGTTCTTAGTGGCTGTGGCTCTGCCTGGGAGCCCATATTTCAGGATGGTCTCAGCAGTCTCTTTATTACTCTAATCTTCGTTCTTGGGGGGTTTGAAAATGGACATCCCACAACCCCAGGATGTAACCTACATCTCTGCTACAGAGTTTTGCCTTGGGCCATTGAGTTTTGATGTGACCCAGTGAACTGTGAAAAATATCTCTTACCGAGTGTGCTTAAATCTCAAATCTCAAATCTGTAGAGCTTATTATATCCTTGTTAAGCATATCCCATGGTTTGTCATCAGCGGTATCATTTCTGGTCCCTGTCCACACCTTTTTGGTTATTGAAAATGGTCATTTAGTGCTTGTGGGTGAAAGCTCTTCAGGCCAGGCTTGTGATGAGCCAGGAAAATGACATCAGCAGCTTTGGGCTTGGTGTGGAGGAAGGCTTCAGGGGAGGACGACCCCCCAGGAGAGCTCCAGAGCTCCCAGTGAGTGGCTGCTGCTTTGGGGGCCCTTAGATATGCGTGGGTTGTTTTGTTGATAGAAGGCCTATAGAAATGGTTACTTAAGAGTTAGAGCATCAGATCCAAACTGCAGAAAACATCCCCAACAATGGGTTTATGGTCCAGTGAAGATGCTGCTGATCTCCCCACAAAGGAGGATGAAAAGGCACAACAGAGAGCAAAGGATGACCACATTCCAGACAAAGCCACTGGTATCGAATAGAAATGTGCAAGGCCTATGTGTTGGCAGTGGGCCAGCACCTCTGCCATGGTCCCCGCTGACTGTCCTTTCTCTCTGCAGCTTCACCAGCACCCTGGCTCTCAACGACCCCCTGCAGACCCTCTTCCAGCTCATGTCGGGGAGGATTCCACAAGCAGCCACGGTACCCTCTAGGGACTCCTTCCACACCCCTTTATCTGAAGGGAGGGCTGGGGGTGGGGTAGAGCTTCTCAGGAATGCAAGGATGGCTTTCAAGGTGAAACAGGAATAACGAACGACGCTTTGTCTGCCTTGCACTAAGTGCTTTGATGCATATGATTTAGTTAATACATGGAAGTAGGAGTTATTATCCCAACTCATTTTACAGATGTGGAACTGAGATGGAAAGGTACAAAGTGGCTCAAAATCATGGAGTTAGGAAGGAGTCAGATCATAATCGGCCCAGGCTGTCTGACTCTAACGACGCTGGCTTGCACAATACTACAGCAGCCTGCCCTGCTCTGAGCAGCAAATGCGGCCGCTGTTCTCCAGGCTTCCCACAGAGGGGCTGCCCCTCTTTCCTGGGGGGAGAACTTCCCTGTGGCACATCTGTCCTTCAGTGCCAGACAAGTCAGACTTCATATTTTCTGGAGTTAAATGTGGCTAAGACCCACTTAATAATCTCCCATTGTAGCAGATGTGATCTTTCTGCTCTAAAGTATCCCTTTTTTATCATTGAAGTCCAATAACTTTTCTAGGATATAGCTTGGTGTTAACTGGGTCGATTTTTTCTTGGGATATAGCATGACTTTTAAATATGTGCATTCAGAACTCAGGAAAATTTTCTTGAATATTTGTCTCATTCCATTATTCTGGTTTTGTTTTTCAGGGATTCATATACGTGAACTGTGCATACACATGTGAACTTTTTCCTTTCTTTCTTCCTGTCTTGGTCTTATTTCTGTCCTCTGTACCCTCCATTGTGTTTTTACCAGTGTCTCTTCCTTTTGTATTCTTTTCATTTTTGCCCTTTAACATTTCTTTTATTTTCTTTATATTTCTTTTATTTTTCCCTCTGCTTCTTTCCTGAACTGTTAGGTCACATTTTTCTCCTCCCATTGTCCACCAGCCTTCTTGAGTTCTTTGAACTTAGCTTTGTGTTCTTGCTTCAAGAAGCAGCTGTTTCGTCATCTCCTTTCCTCTTAAGTGTAACTTTATTCAGTCTCCGTTGCTTTCGGCAGCCTTTTTCTTGAATTGCAGTTGGATTTCTTTTTTGATAACTAGGTTTAATGAAGATGGGTTTAACTCTTTTTGCTCTTTTTTGTCCTTCTTATTGCTTGTGGATAATTCCAAGAACAGAAAAGAGAAATTATTATTTTTCAACCTTCATCCTTAAACCAATGGGCTATTTTATTTTGGGGGGCTAGGTTTATGTTTTGGGGGTTGGATAGACTGGCCTCAGACTCACAGTGACCCTCCTTCCTCAGCCCTTTAAGTGCTGGGATTACAGATATGCACCACCATGACTGGTCAATGGGCTATTTTTGAAACATAGATTCAGTTGAAAGGTCTGTGTTATACAGTGAAATTGTGTTGTGTTATAAAGTAGTAAATATATAGAGTGATACAATCAGATTATGGTCTCACTGAAGTGATAACTTTTAGATGAGAAAACCAAGGAGCCAGAAGTGATGTACCAGTGCAATGTTTCATCTTAGGGTGTGAGAATTTTCTGGTATGATAGCATCTAATAAAAGAGTAGATTTCAGTTACATGTGATGAGTGGAAAGAACATGGCAACTGGACACACAGATGTGGGTGTCCTCACAGTGTAACCTAGACTTTGCTCCTGACTTGTGTGCAACCTTGATTTTGTTACTTAAACTTATGAAGTCTCAATTTTTCATATTTGTGGAGATTTTGGTACATGACTGTTTAGTCAGGGGTTGTACACAGAGAACAACTAGGATTAGGACATGGAGTTTATAATATTTTTATAATGGTCACCGGAAGTTAACACAGGGAAATGCAGGAAATCTATTTGCAACACCAAAGACATAGATTATTTAGTCAAGAGCCTAAACCCCACGGCAATGTCCCACATGAGTCCAGATAAAAATCCAGAGCTCAGGACAGTGCCTCCCACAAGTCCAACTGGAGGTCCAGAGCCCACAAGAAGGACTCATGTCAGTCTCTTTTATGGATCCGTGCCGGGAAGACCCAAGGGTCAGCGGTGGAAGCCAGAAAGTCAATGCCAGCAGGATGAAGGAGCTGTGCTAGTGGGATGAGGGTTCTACACTGGAGCTGAGAAGTCACACTCACAACAAAGACCAGGGCTGTCCTGAAAGCACCATAGCCATAGTCAGTGACACGGAGGCCCCGAGCTCCTCCTCCTGCGACAAGCACAGTCAGGTACGTGCCAGGAAGCAGAGTGACAAGTTCATCCTGGAGACCAAGCAGCACATGTCTTCCCCTCCAGAGGCAGGAAGCAATGCTCGATGTGAGGACCAAGGCTTCTCCAGGAGAACCAACAGCTCAGACAGCAACTCGTAGGAGAACCCACAATGCCTCCTTAACACCTCAACCCTCCGCACCTCCCTTCTTCTCCACCTATTTATCCTGGCAACCCTCTTCAGATGGAGCATCTTCACTCAATGCCATGCTGATGTAATCCAGCTGGTGTTAAGTTGACCACCAGTTCTTAACCTGTAACAATGACCAATAGACTTATTTTGAAACTTAAAGAGAGAGAATATCTAGACCTACCAGTTACCATGCTTGGCACACTGATATTAGTTCATAAATGTTTCCATGCTCTTTCTCTTTATGCATAGGTCTATGGTATAGTGACTTTTTTCAAATCACCTAGAGTGAACAGAGATAGAAAGACTTACAAATTCTTTTTTTTTAAAAGAGATTTTTTTTTTTTTTGGCTGAACTATCCCAGTAATTCTGTAGTCTACTTCTAGATCCAACAGAAGGAGCTTGGCTTATGTGTTAAAGTGAGGGTAAGGGTAGTACCTAGCATATATGGTAGTACCTAGCTCATGTCGCATTGCTGGCAGGGTGCAGTTCATGGTCTAAGCCACGGTGATAATGAGAACTGCCATCACCATCGTGACTCTTCTCGGTCCTCTTCCTTCTTCATTTATAATGTATTTTCCAAATTAAACAAGAATTAAATATAACATGAAATTGGAAAAAGCATCCTTTATTCATTGAGATATTTACAACACCAAATAGTTGTGAATAGTTTTGACCTCCAGATGTTAGTTATTATTGTCAGTCTCTGTCCTACCCATCTGTGAAACAAATTAGAGTTACACAAGCTTGAAAATTACTTTTTTCCTCTGCTAAGCTTATAGTCCTCTGGGTGTGTGTGTGTGTGTGTGTGCCCCTATTTATAAAGGACAAACCAAGTGTGAAGCACTATGCTATGTGCTTTGTATGTTATCTTATTTTACTGTCTCCACAATCCTGTTATGTAGAAATGATGATCTCCACTTTAGAGATGGGGAAACAAAGGTTCAAAAATCTTGTTCAAGGTCACACAGCTACTGTGAGGCATGATTTAAGTCAAAGCCAGACCTTGTGTTGTTTCTTTGACATTAGATTGTTTTTTAACTAACAGTTTCCTCCCTCAAACTCATTCCCTTAGGGGAAGGGCTGCCTTCCAGCAAACCACTGGGGAAGTACCCTTTATACGGGCTTCTTCTCTGCTGATTCTCTGCTGCCCCCTGGTGGGCTCTGCCGCCTCTGCGCTGTCACCAGAGGGATGGGCAGGAGGAAATTGAGTTCTGGCTGGGCTATTAGGCTTGGTTTTCTGCTTCCTAAGTAGTGAAAGGAATTAGGCTTCATGGGGTTGTTGTGAAGGTTAAGTAACAGGATGTACATAAAGACCAGAAAGCAGGAGACATTTGGGAAGCTACTGAGCAGCCTGTGTTACTTGATTTCTGCGATGGGCTAATACTGTCTCCTCTGCTTGTGAGATAAGGATGTTCATTCTTCCTTCTCCCACTGAAACATCAGAGTGTTATTTTTTTGGGGGGGGGACTTCTTTCTAGCTATTTGGGGTGGAGGCACTGGGAAGAAATTTGAAAATTAATGAATAATGTTTTATTCATCCTCAATTTCCTTATGTATATATATATATATATATATTTATCTATCTGTATCTGTCTATATCTATATCTATATCTATATCTATATCTATATATCTGCTTGCCTTCTGTTATTCTAGGAGTTTTTTTAAAGGAGGACTCTAAAAAATAAAAATAAAAAATGAAAAATAAAAAAAGAACTCTAAATCAGTAAATGGCTGCGTTGCAGATAATATAATGGGTATTTCCCAAACTCCTTCAAACCAAAAAAGAGACAGCAGCCTTGTTTACCTACATTTTGGGCAGTACTAAATGGTTCTGTGAGTATTGTTTTCCTGCTCTTTTCCAGTGCTGTGGGGACAAGCAGTGGGGAGACTGGAGGCCCCACTTGGCTGTGATTCTGTCAAATCAGTCTGGGGACCCGGAGCTGCATCAGCGAGCAATTGTCACCATGGGGGACACGCTCGGTAAGCAGAAACTGTCACTGCTCCCTCCCTCCCTAGGGCATCTGCAGGCTAGCTGTACATACCTGTCCTTAGATTTTCAGAGTCTGGGTGGGGCCGGAGTCTATGCACAGGCCTTTCGAGGACCCAGGAACTCCCATGTTTGGGATAAGAAATTCTAGAGAAAGAAATGTCCTGCTTGTGCTGTCTCTTATAGTTCCCTGCAAGCTGAGACTTGGTGTTCTGTGCTCTACAGCCACTTCCCAGCAGCTGATGTTCCAGCCCTAGGTGATATTTTCTTTACATGGCACTAACACAGGGCACACTTGGCCTCCTGTGGCCATTAATGCTTCAGTGACCCGGCTCAGTCAGATAGGAGATTCTGTTTTTGCCTGAACTACCCCAGTAATTCTGTAGTCTACTTCTATCCTTTTTGTGAGCATGACCTTTCAAGCACTTACCAGCTACTGAGTGTCCGGGATCAGTGCCTCTTGAGCTTGGTCAAAGGACAGAGGATCCAGAAATCTCAGTGTTCCTTGTGGACCTTTGTGAAAAGGTGCTCTTGTTAACCTGGGAATAGCTGTGTGCCGGGTTGGGCTGAGTGATGGCGGCCTGTTTAGCACTCTCGACCAAAGGGAACTGATGTTTGTTGAGCCCTGCTTGGGTGCCAGGCAATGTGCTAGGTATTTTACCTACTTGAATTAATTTTAAGGCAGTGAAAAATGTATAGCAGAACACTGAAAAACTGAGGATGATTTGGTAATTGATGTGACTTTTATGAGCACTGGGAAAGCCCTCTATGACTTGATGTTAACAGGAGAGGCAGTTGTGCCCTAGAAGCCTGGATTAGGAATTGCTACTCTCAGCAGTCCCTGTCTTTGCTCAGAGCTGGGCATCTTCAGTCCATTCTCATCCTGAGGAAAGACTGAAATGTTTAAAAAATGCCTAATACAAAATCCCTTAGGGGAAATGTGCAGTAGTGCCTCAGTCTGGTTGAAGAAAAATGAAATGTAGTATCTGAGGGTGAGAGTGCTGGTAGGAGAGGGGTTGGGACTGTGGATCTGTGGTTCGTGATATGAGAAGTTCATTGATTTAGTCTCACAGGTTCTCCTCCGGCCCCTCTCCCTAGCCCACGTAGACAGTGGGACACCCTGGGTGTGTTCCATGACTAGGTCTTGTTCTGCTCCTCCTGCAGCGGGGAAGGGCTTTGTGGAGGCTTCTCACTTCTGCTACCTTATGGCTCACGTGCCCTTTGGCCACTACACTGTGAAGACAGACCTTCTGGCCTTGCTGGGCAGTAGCCACAGGTATGTGACCACCGGGGGAAGGAAATGGCAAGGATGTTTCCCATGGAATTCTTTTAGCCCTTATCACACTCATGGAGCGTTTTTTCATTTTCTGTAGATGTCAGCCACTGCAGGTCCCCTTTAGATTGTTTCCCCTGCTCCTCTTGCAAGATGATGAGTGTGAGAGGCCTCAGGCTTCAGGTCCTGCTCCAGGAAGTTGCCAACTGGTGCCTTTGGGTTGTATTGTGCCCTTCTGGCCACTGGGTGGCACCCTGACTCCACAACCAGACAGCTCCAAAAGGGCGGGGAGGGAAGAAGCAGTTTGTGTGTGCAGGCGCTGGTTGTGTTAGGCAGCCAGGGCCTGTTTCAGGAGCCCACCCGTTTAGTCTCCCTCCAGAGACTGTGTGCAAGCTCCTCAGAGCCTTGGTGATCACTTACTCCCTGGTAGCCATGACACCAGGCTTTTCATCTGTGAGGACCACTCTAAGCCCTTGGAGAAGGACTAGATTGAGGAACAGACAAGCAGCTCCCGAACAGTCCTCTCTGTTCTGGATCTCTCTGTCTCTTTCCCCATAACTGTTACCATTTATGAACATCTTACGTGGCGCTGGCCACTTGCTTTGTGTGATTGCCTTTGTCACAGATTGACTCCGTGATGTGTTTAATCTTCACTGACACAGGAGGAATCCCAGGGCACAGAGAGGTTAAGAAGCTTGGCTGTGGTAGCACAGCTTGTGTGCGCCCCGACTTGGAGTCAGGCAGCCAGGATGCAGAGCCCGTGTTTGTAACTGTGGCCCCAGCTGCCTACGCTGTGTTGCCCCACCTGTCCCTTAGCCTGTTCCCCATGCAGTTGGGACAGCATGTGTGTAGTTAGCTTATCAGCGATGCCCATCTGGGCCAACTGGGCACCACGAGTGTTAGGGACAATATGTCTCATGTTCATGACATACATGGAAATTTCTGAATACCATGTCTTATCTCCCAGGGATAATCTGGTGACTGTGATTTTGGACATCTTGGCAAGGTGTCGAAGGAAGAGACTCGGGGGTGTGCGGGACTCTTGAGGCCCTTGGGTCACATTCACCGGCCCCCTTCCTCACTGGCTGAGTGAACATCCAACCCGAGTACTGTCGCTTGCCTTCTGCTCAATGGTCCTTCTGTTCTCCTTCTCACTTTTTCTCCTCTGTGCTCCTGGAGGTCTCATGGCTGCTCTGCTGTGACAGCATGCTCAGGCTGGTGTGGCTTTCTTGCAACACATCTGGTTTTGGGCTTCCCAGGCCAACTGTCATTGTGTTTGAGGGGAGGAGCTGGGGTTGCACCCCCTGGCAAGGGAACTGGAGGACCCCTCCCTGCGTCCCTACCTCCCAGGGCCCAGTGTGGAGTTCTCTGTGTCGCTCCTAACCCAGGATCAAGAGACTAGAGGGAGAAGAAGCCACACATCCATGCTGGGGCTGCAGTCGCTCTCCTGTCTAAGAGCTGCCAGGACCAGCCAGGATGGAGCCCTTGCCTGTCTCCTAGGACCCGACTCCACCCTAATCTCTCGTGTTCTTATTCCCTGATGTAGTCAAGAGTTCTTGAAATTTGCAACCACTGAGGCTATCCAGAGGACGGAAATCTTCGAGTACTGCCAGATGCTGGGCCACCCCAAATCTTTCATTCCTTCTTTCCAGGTAACAGAACCCAGACGAGGCTCTCGGTGTGGCCACGGCAGCCGGCTGCACGCAGCCTGGTTTTCAGCTTTGCTTGTGGCACATAGGACGTGGGGCTCAGTCTTCTCCTGCATTTTCCTCATGAGTGTGAGAGTGGGGAGGTTCAGGATTTCTTTTTATGTTTCCTAAAGGTCCGTATTTTACAGTATGAGAGCCAAAGCTTGCAGAGGCTGCTCTGCCTCCTTCCAGCCACGGTACAATCGATGCTTGAGGGCCCAAGCCTGGGCCGTCCTCAGTCCCCTTGCGCTTCTCGCCCACAGTGCCAGTCTTTGCCACTCTCTCCACAGCCGACCTGCCTGGGGGTCAGGGACCCCCACCTCCTCCCTGCTGCTTTTCTTGCCTTTCAGGGTTTGCTTAGTAAGTAGCCTCCAAACTACCGGTCTGTCCTCTCTTCTCAACATTGCTGCTTGGTGTCCTGCTGTCACCTTAAATTCACAGTGATGGATGCTAACCTCTTGTCATCCTCCTGTCCAACCTCCTGGCTGGTCTGAGATCCAGCACCATGAAGCCTCTTCCATCTGCTCCTGCTGGTGGGACTGGCATGGCGGCCCTGAGGGATCTGGGCTGTGAAGTGGTGTGCTGAGTGTTTCGGGATGGTTATGCAGCGAAACTGGCATGATGTCAGCCTTGTTCATTTCTGTCCCGAATTAGAACAGTGCCAGACGGACATACAGTGATGGAATCACCGCCACAGCCCTGGCTCCAAAGGCTGCTCTGACATTAAACCAACTCGCAGTGGGCTCTGGGTTTTTTTCCTCAGCTTGTGCAGGAGCTTGGCCTCTGCTGGAATTATCTTCTGAGGGCTGAGTCTTTCCCTGGTGGTGCTTTATATCTCCTTCAGTGTCCAGTAGTGAGAATGCACACAGCAACAATAACACACAAATGTCCAACACGCACACACACACACACACACACACACACACACACAGACAGCTTTGGAGATGAATTACTGTGATATAAAGAGGGGACGTATCTGGTGTCATCATTAAATTTTGCCAGAGACCTACCTTGTCCAGCAAGTCAGCTCGCCCTTGTGCTCCTTTACAGTACTCTCCTCTCCTTTTCCTCCTCTATTCACCCCACCTCTCAGTTACCTTACACTGCTCTGGGCTGACAGTAATGACATTAGCCAGTTTTATTGACTGTGCGCTCCATGCCGGGATTATGCATTAGGTTTCTTGTGTATTAGTTTTAGTTCTGTGGAGCAGGCATGACTGTCCATCCCATGTCCCTTTATAAAAAAGGAAATAGGCTCAGAGGGGTTGCATACTATCCACTTACTTCTGCATAACATTGTTCTAGGTGCTTTATGTGGATTACCTTATTTAATCTTCACAGTGACCAAAGGGGAGGTGGTATTATTATTCCCATGCCGCAGTGAGGAAACTGAGGCACAGAGAGGGGAGGGAAGTAGCCTATGTAACACAGTTAGCGTGGCGCTTGGATTTGATTGGCCTCACCGTGTCACCCCTGTTTACCTGAGTGCACATTCTCCACGGGGCCACAAACCCCTTGTGCCAGGTCTCTTTTTGCTTTTTCATGTGTGCCCTGGTGTCAGGCTCTCTGGAGTTGGGGGCTGCTGGTAAGAAGCACCCCTGTGTCTTTCCATGCTGACCAGGGCCTGGTACAGGAAGGTGATGTGAGCCACTCCTACTTTTTTCTCTCTAAGTCAGGAACTGCAGACTTGATTTGGAGTTGTGCCTATGCATGGAGCAAATGCCCCAAATGGCACAGGGCCCTTGATATTTGGATGCCAGAGTTAGCAGAAGCTGGCAGTCAGCTGACTTCCAAGAGGTCTTATCTACATTTCTTCTCTGTCTTTCTATCCCTGGCTAGGTGGACTTGTCACCCGGCCTGTTCTTCTTCACAGGTGTATAAGCTCCTTTATGCTTCCCGTCTAGCGGATTATGGTCTGGCATCCCAGGCCTTGCATTACTGTGAGGCCATTGGTGCAGCTGTCCTGAGCCAGGGACAGAGCAGCCACCCTGTGCTATTGGTGGAGCTCATCAAGGTGAGTGTCTCAAAGGGTTCTCTGCAGGTGTGTTATCTTCAGTGCTCAGAGAAAGCCTCTGTAGAATAGCTTAGACTCCACATTTCATCTTCTTCGAACATGCCACGAAATCTGAGCCCACGGCTGTCTTTGACCATATATGCATGCCCCGATGTGATAAGCAGAAGCCCAACATGCACAAAAGCCTGATGTGTGGGGTGGGGGCGGTGGGACCAAGGGAGTGGAAGCCAGGCGTGTGCTACTCGGGAAAATTCATTCTTGCATCTGCTTTTCTGGTACCGTAAAACCGTGTGCTATGGTGAGCTGTTCTAATTATAAAAGCCAGGTTTAGAAAACATATTTTAGTGATTAAAACAGGAAATGATCCTTATTAAAATGTTTTTAAATGCATGGAATATTTTATCACATGTGGGATACATTTAAAAAAGAAAACAAAAACATATCATCCCTTAGTTCCTGGGGAAGAAACAGCAATCAGGCAAATAGTTGTTCCAATTAATTGAAGAAAAACCCATTAGCTAGAGAGTCAGAAGGCAGCCTACCCTTAAATTTTTGTTTTGCTTTAGACGAAGCCCTAGTGTTGAGTTTTGTAGCCAATAAAATTTATGGTGCTGAGCCCTGATACTCTGAAATTTCTGCCAACACACTGATGGTTCTAAGGAGCTCAGGGCCCCAGGATGAATGGTCAAGAAGATTTTGGGACACAATACTGGAATAAAGGTCAAATCAGGATCAAAATACAAAGAAGCATCAGCTTCCCTGGAACTTGTTAGAAATGCAGATGTCAGGCCTCACCTAGACCAACTGGATGAGAATTTGCATATTTAACAAAGTCCTGGGTGATTCCTACATAGACAAGAATTTCAGAGGGCTTCTTACATAGACCACTTTGCACAGGGAATGAAGCTGAGACTCTGTTTCTCCTCCTTTGTTTAGTATTTAACACCAAAATGAATTAATTATTTACATTGCAATTTTGGGGGGCAGCTGTTGAATTTGCTATTTTTGATCACTTTTATAATTTAATCTTCCTCTTTTTCCCCTCCTGTGTTTCCCTTTCTCTTATTTCCTTCCATTTCCTGGGCTCCCCTCTTTTCTTGCCCATCTTGCTTTGTGCACCTGACTTGTCTGCAAACCTGGTACAGCTTGCAGAGAAACTGAAGCTGTCGGACCCTCTGGTTTTTGAAAGGCGCCATGGAGGCAGAGAGCCCGAGCCAGACTGGCTGGCACAGCTGCGGAGGCTGCACCAGGAGATGCAGGTGAGCAGGGCAGAGCTGGGGGTGAGTGCCTGGGCCCGTGTTTCCCTCACTGCCCTAGACATAAAATGGGCATAGCAAGTCCAGCCCTGCAGGTCACTGTGAGATCTCCTGCCACCCCTGACACACTGCTGGGTCCCAGGAAGGGCGGGACTCTGAGCTTCCCTGCTGCTCCCTCTCTCTGCTGTGCAAACCTTTTGCTGTTTGCATGTGACAGGGCAGAGAAGGGAGGGGGGTTCTTCTAAGCACCCTTGACACCCTTCTTCTCTGAGATCCCAGAGAATGTGCTTTCTGACCATCAAAGTTCCCTATCTCGGTTAGGAACAATGGATCACAGTGGAGCTGTGTCACTTTCATGTAATGTGGGGCAATTGCTTAAAAGACTTCCGGGCCTTTCTTTTTTGTTCTGACAATTGCAAGCTGCTGGCCATAATCAGAACAGTAATTGGAGCAGGGCCTCCCCCATTTTCTTTTTTCCACTTTGAAGAAAGGACAAAGTAGGTTTTTAAGAGCACACGTGGCCTTTTCTCCCTCTATCTGCTGCCAGTCTGAGGCCAGTTTAGTCCCTTCCATTTGCCCCTTGCTCTGGGGGAGGATAAGTGACACTGTGCCGGTGTCTACTTGTGCACAGCAGAGCTGAGAGACCTGGGAACGAGGGTCCCTTGCACGTGACCCCCGTGGGGAGCATTCAGCCTACGTTCCCTTCCCTTGTCACTTCCACTGGAAGCTTCTTTTTGACCTAATGTTTCAGCTCCTCTATTCCCACTGATTTTAATCTGTGCTGTTTCAAAGGATTTTACTTTATTTTGAATAGCAAAACATGGGAGACGTTGGGGATCCTCATTCTGCTCGCTCAGATATTTCAGGAGCCAAAGGAACAACAGGTATGCAAAATGAAGAACTGACACTTAAGATTGAACTAAAGGAGGTAAGCTAACTTAGGGAACACCCACCCTTCCCTTCCTAGGTGCCTTTTGTCCTTGTATACCTGACCCATTGGCCCAGCAGCCTCTCTACCCAGCTCTGCCAGGCTCACATGCCCAGGATGCTTCTGAATCGCCCACCGTGACAGTCTCTGCTTCGCAGTCCAGGTTTTAAATGCCTGAGTGTTTTACGTGTTGCATGGCATCGCTAGCTAACATGTTGTCTGTGTTAGTACCTTGTTCCCAGCTGGATCATTTCTTGAGGCCAGAGAGCAGATTACATGTATTGGGTGTTAGTGTTGGAGTCGTTGGAAGCTCTGAAGAGTTTTGAGTGATCACTTGCCATGTGACTGTGGCATAAATATGCTTGGATGTGTTTTCACAGCATCCCCGACCCCCTCCAGGATGCCTCTGGGTAGCTGATCAGCAGGCCTTAGGTCCTCAAGTTACTCCTGTGATGGGTTTGGCGAGGGCTCTCATCTCTTCCCTGCAGGCCATTTCCCAGCCTGCTGCATTTCCTTCAGGGAGGAGTAAAGGGAAGAGAGGGAAGGAGGGCCTTGGTTTGGGTCCCTGGCGCTGCTGTCCTGCAGCAGGGCCTGTGGTGTTGCGGGGAGCCAGCCAGTGGTCTCTGGATGGCCACTCCCTCGTGGCCCTGTCTGCTGCTGCTCCCTGGGGCAGGTGGCCATGGGGCAGGTGCCCACACCAGCCTTGGGCCTGTAGGCCAATCGTTCCCTGCACCCACGCCTGAGATTCTCTTAGCAGCAAGGCCCCTTCCCATGTGAATGCCTGCTCTTTCTTTAAAAGCAGAGCCATCATTTCTAAGATCTGATGTGGGTTTTTTAAATTTTATTTTTTATTAGTATGTGTTGGCAGTGCCCAAAGATTCCGTTTACTGTGGAGTTGGTGTCTGTCCATAGCACGTCCTCATTCTTTTTTATCTCGTCCCCTCCCACCCCCCCTGCTCCTTTTCTTGTTCCTTTTCCTATTAGTAAAAAGCCTCCATTTCTGTTTTTCAAACTAAAAGCTTTCTGTGTCTCAAACATTCAACTCCAAGAACTTCTTAGAGGAAGAAGCGCTTACTCCAAAATTAAAAAGTGGAGAGGTAGATGGGAGATGGGATGGTAAGTTCAGGCTAAGTGGCTCAGGGATCACACAAGCAGTGAGGGGAATAATTTTGTAAACCGTGGTGAGAGGTGTTAGGGTCATTCAGTCCTCCCTCTATCCTCTCCACTCCTTTCCTCTTCTCTGTCTCTCTCCCTCTTTCTCTTTGTCTCTGTCTTTTTCTCTCTCTGCTTCTCTCTGTCTCTGTCTCTCTGTCTCTGTCTTGCTCTGTCTGTCTCTGTCTATCTTTGTCTCACTCTGTCTGTCTGTTTCTGTCTCTGTGTCTGTCTCTCTGTCTCTGTTGCTCTGTTTCTCTCTGGTCCTGGGAATTGAAATTTGCTTGCATTTTGTTTATGAAAGCCACATCAACCAGCTGGCCATCTCTTGTGACTGCCTTCACAGAGGACAAGAGCAGGAATTTTTCTGGTGCTATTAATCTGCAAATGCTACATTTCAGGTCTCAGTTCCTCTTTGTCCTTTGTCCTCAGACCCTTTCTACCAGGATCTCTCTGGACATCAGGCTACTGGGTCCCAACCAGCCCCACGGCCAACTCCTGAGCAGCTAGGCCCAAGCCAGTCTGGCCCACAGCAGGACCTTCCCCTTATGGGGCCTTACCTGGAAGAAGGAGGTGTGGGGCACACTGGAGCACCAGTGCCTCTTTTCTCGGTTCCTGAGACCCACCCTCCAGGGGCTGGCGATGGTGGTGGCAGTGTGGCAGTGGTGGGGGCTCCTGAAGGAAGGGCCTATGAGGAGACGCTGCAGATGTACCCTGTCTCTGGTAAGACCTGCCAGCAGGCTGGCACCTTGGCAGTGATTCCTGGGGCAGAGGAGGAGGTGGGGGAGATACCAGGACCAGGGGAGGCAGCAGGGCCATGGTGGATAAAGACGTGGATGGTGGTCCACTCTTCACTGAGGTCCTTCCCCTAGTCAGCCTCTGCACTGATGCTTTGGCAGCAGGACAGACATAACCACTGGGTGCTTGTCCTGGGATTGCACAGTGTCAGGAGAAACCGCAGGATAGAGACATGAAGAAAATGTGACTTGTGTCTCACACGCACTACAGCACAGGCCAAATCTTCCTTCTGAAGCAGTCTTGTGCCCAAGAGCTAATAGTCAGGGGCTGTGACAGGGATCATGTTTCTGTCCTATTCCCATGTTTCTTCAGGGCTATCAGACCTTAGACAGCATGGATTGAATGTAGGGGGGTGATATGGGACCCATGCAGGAGGATTAGCTCTTAGACCTTCAAAGATGGGGTCCTTGGCAACCTGGAAGGGTGGATCCCTGTGATCCAGATCCATGTTGCTCTGATTTCCCAGATTCCTCAGAAATGACCTTGATGTTCAGGATGTAGACTTGGGTTGACCAGCATGCCCTCCGTGGCTGGCGTGGACAGGAACCACGCAGTCATTTACTGTGATCCTCTTGTGGCTGTGGGCTCTGAGCTCCTGCTGCTTTATTAAGCAAGCCGCTGTGTCCCCAGTAACCTTCTTCTGGATGATGGGAAAGCACACATTCAGATTTACAACTTTTGTTTCTGTTTGGTGCCGCAGGAGAGCACGCAGTGCCTCAAGAAACCCCCCAGCATTATGATGGTCAGAGTGTCATTCCTAAGCCTCAGGTGAGGGGACAAGGCCTAAAAGACGCCGGTGCCCACTCTGATGGGTTTCCCATCTTCTGGTGTTTTCCAGCTGTCCCTGGTTTCTTAGCCATGTGCAAGCTCCTCTCGCTTCCACACTGGACCTTGTTTCTTGTTTCTTTCCACACCAAATGCTGGCAGTGGGGAAAGGACTGTGTTCTTCTGCTCAGTCCTGCCTGCCTCTGATCTGGGAAGGAGGCAGAAACAGAGCTGGTTTGGTTCTGGCTTCTTGGATCTCTGGCCCTCTGTACCCTGCTCTGTTGCACCAAATGCCTGCCACACCCTGCACCAGTGTAGAAGACTCTTGGTGTTTATTTCCTTATTTTAATCTTGTCTTTTTTATGTCAAAGAAAGATTCACGATGACTGTAGCAGTGGCTGCTCGCCTTTGCCCTTCAGTTAGGCTGTAAGGTGTTGGGGTGTCTGTGTCAAATTAGTCATTTCACCTGGCTGTTGACTGAATGCAACTCTTCCCTCAAAAATGGGCAGCTTTGTTCCCAAACTTAAGATATTCTTCAGTGTTGCCTGGTAAGAGCAATTATATTCTGACTTTTTCACATAATGGTAGAGCTTCAGGTCTTTAAAATCTTTTATGATTTACTATTTTTCTTATACTTACAGGAAAAAGTAATAGATGGTTGTTATAAAAATGTAAAAATAAAGTATCATATAAAGAGCCAAACTTCATGGTCCCACAGTCAAATATTTTGGTTCTTTCCTTATATACATATGGTGTGATTGAAACATATGGTGCATGTTTAAATAAAAAGTTTATTACAGTAAAAGACATATTGCCATTAATCCTCCCTGCAGTCCTCCCTGTCTCCTTGAGCACACTGATCCCATCATTCCTGCCACTCGCTGAAGCAGTTCTGGAGTCCTCTTTGTGAGTCTTTCCACACTCACACCGCCTCAGAGTTTTGAATTGATCCAAAATATTTTTTAATGGTCATTTGGACCTTGGGGAAGTGCTAGAATTCTCAGGGTGCCGGGTCTAATGAATAAGGTGGATGAGGACACCTTGTAAGGTTTTCAATGAGTTTCCTTTTTCACTGGGTGACACTCAGTAACAGAATATCAAATGTATATCAAATGAGATGATAGTAACGGCACCTATCTTAGAGATCTTTGGTAGGGATCACAATGAATATCTATATGAAAATACTCAGATCAGTGCCCAGCATTTTACAATCACTATGCTCATTATAATAAAATAATAAAGCTTTTTCTGTATTTTTGCCAATGTTTGTACCAATTATGCTTTATGGAGAGTGTAAAATGTAAATATGACACACAACAATGACATGTTGTATGTTTCTACTTCTGAGAGATACTTAGATGAGGTAAACTGGTAGGAACAGGAAGTAGAATAGAATGGCAGTGACCAGGGACCGGGGGCAGGGTAGATGGCGGTTCAGGTTTGATGGGTACAGAGCTGTTGGGGATGGTGGTGGTACAGTATTTTGAGTATGCATAACCCCACTGAGCCACACACCTCAGACAGGTGGTAGTGGTGAGCTTTACGCAAGGCATATATTGTACCACAGTAAAAGAAAGTTAATAGAAGAGATGAAGGCATTTTTCTGCTCCTCTCTGGGGAGGGCACTGCTCACAGTTGCTCTTGAGCCAGCATGTCAGGAAATAAGTTCTAAGATGACTTAGGGTCCCTGGTTGCTGCTGTGTGGGTTGTTTTTATGAGGGGGTGGAGATTGGGCGGTCCCTCTGGGCCCTCTCCTCCTCCTGCAGTAGCCTCTGGCTCCAGGCCTTGGAATAGTTCCGAAATGGTTTCCAAAGAGAAAGCATAGCAAACAGGACTTCCTAAGGTCAGGGAGAACTGGAAGCCTGGGTTTGGGACTGGCCTTGTCCTGTAACCTTTGGCAAGTCCTTTGTTAGGGCTAAGCCTTACTTTCCCCTCAGTAAGATGCCTAAGAACCTCAGGGTACTCCCAGAATTGCTGAGTGGTCAGGTGGAGGGAACATGTGCTTTGATGTTAGTTCTTTTTAAAAATTCCAGGTACCACCGGCTCCCAGAGCACGAAGTTTCTCTGAGAATTCCAGTGCCTCAGTCCAGGAGGAGGAAGAGGAGTCCTCTGATGAAGCAGATAAAAAGCCCTCCTCAAATGCTGCGCAGAGAGAAAAGCCAGGAGATGTGAAAGACAACACAAAGGTGGGGGGCCCTTCCTTCCCTTTCCTCCAGCCCCTTTCCCGAGTGGTGGAGCAGAATTGGGAGTCTCCACATTGGTTGTGTCCCCTTCCCTCCATTCTCCATCTCATACTGGGGTGGCTGACCTCACGTCAAGTGTGGAGAAACAAACCTCCAGGATGCACAAATTCTCCTTTCTCTTCAGAGCTCAGGATTTGGCTGGTTCAGCTGGTTTAGATCGAAGCCCTCCCACAGCCCATCTGAAGAAGACTCATTATCAGACTGCACTGACTCAGAGGTAACCTTGGGAGAGGTCTGGAGCACCCTCCCTAGGAGGCTTTCTGAGGAAATCTCCCCAGCACCGTGTGGCACCAGGCTGCCGGCCTGCTCTGCCCTAATCTGGATGAAACACAGGCTTTGTGTTGGGAGATTGTAAGAAATAAATTTGTTTTGTGTGTGAGGACAGATTATGAAGGTCTTAAAAATTAAGATGAAAAATTTCAACTACAGAGGGGTAGGAGCAAAGCTAATTTGGATTGCTGGAGGAATGGCAGGAGAAAAATGTTTTGGGGAGAGAACCCCAGTGATGGTTGTGCATGGGGGCTGCCATTATGGGTGTCGGAATACACAGAGGTTGGCATGAGATTGTTAACCAACAGTGTCCCCAATGCGCCCCTTTGTTTTTCTCTACAAAGCAGGTGAAACCTGTGGCATCTTCTCCCCGTCAGACTAGCCCGAGCCTATCACCAACACTGTCTCCTGAGGCCCCGTCCCTGCCAGGGACCAGCACTTTTTCCAGGGGCACAGGTACCCATACCTTCATGTCCTTTGGTTGGTATCTGTGGTCCCGATGGTGCTCCTGGGTATGGGTAGCACCTTCTAAGGGTGGGCACTGCTCAGCGCTGAGCTGAGGGAACCCTTCTAACTCATTGCCTTGTAGGTGGTGACGAGCTCCCAGAATCCCTGTCCAGTGGGGGCACAGCCGAGGGCACTGGGATTGCAGGGTTCTCAGGGCTCGAGGTGAGCAGTGCATGGGCTGGGGTGTAGGACTCCCGCAGGTGCTTGTGTGTGTGAGGACTGAGCTTTTACTGTGGCCTGGAGATGCTGTCTGTGAGTGGCTGCCGCATGGGGAACATGGATAAAGCTTCTGTGTGAGTTTCCTCAGGCTGCTGTGACAAAGTACCACAGACCAGAGGGCTTAAAAAACAGAAATCTATTTTCTCACAATTCTGGGGACCAGAAGTGCAAAATCAGAATTTCCTCTGAGGCCTCTCTCTGTGGCTTGTGGTGGGTTGTCTTCTTGCATCTTCATGTGGTCTCTCCTCTGTATATGTTTGGCTTCCTTGTCTTGTTAGGCACACACAAGACCTCTTTAATGATGTCACCTTCAAAAATAACCACATGCCAGTGTACTGGAGGCCAGGTCTTCACCAGATGAAGTTCTGGAGAGACACAGCTCAGCCCGCAGAGCTTTCTTGGGACCACCTGTTCCCCTCTCTCAGAGAGGACTGGAGATCACTGTGCCCTTGACTGGGGCTGGGATAAATTCTTCATGGGATAAATTCCACATAGGTAGGGATTCCATGCCAATTGTTAGGAAAGCATGTCTTGCAGCCTGGTTTGAACACTCTTGTAGTATTTTAGGATGTCTAAAAGGTCTGGTATTGCCTTTTATAATGGTCTCAGCCTGATGTATTCTGGATTTTCCTTCTCACGTGCTTGAGGTATGGCACCCCTGAGCCCCTGCTTTGCCACTCCAGGTCCAGGTATTCACTGTGCCCACTTGAGTCATGTCTGTGTGCTGGAGATTCCCTGAGTTTTATAAGAAACCCTTCCCATGTACTTCTCTTGGCCAAAGTTGGTGCTCAGGGAAGGCCTGGACATTCTGGGAAGTAGCCACTGACTGGATTTTCTGTATTTCTATAACAGGGTGTTTCCTCTGAGCTCTGCTCCAAACCTGGAGTTGTGCCTCCCCTTACTCCTTTGAGAGGGGCAGTTCCTCTCTACAACCCATCGCAGGTTCCTCAGGTAAGGATGCCTTCCAGGGATGGGTGGGACCACAGAGTTTTACTGAAGAGGCTGGATTTATAATCCCAGTTTACCACTTGCTGCATGTGGGTTCTTAACCTCTGTAAGTCTCACTTTCTGCATCTGTAAAATGAGTTATTAGTAGTATGTGCGTGAAGTGCTTTGCACCTAGAACATGCCCAGTATATGCCTGATATAAATGTTTCTCTTGACCTTCAGTAGGTCCTGAGATACAAGAGATATAGCTGGTGTGGGAATCAGTGGTGGGAGTGCAGAGTTTCTCTGTCCTAGGGCTTGGGGAGCACTGTAAACTTTGAGAGAAGACCAGCTCCCTGCTCCTCAGTGACTTGGGGCAGGCTTAGTCTTGCTAATACATCACTTGCCTCCCTTCTTTATAAAGTCAAGTTTCTTTTTGGCATAGTCAAGAGGTGAAGGTTGATCATTGGAACTCAACCTTGGGAAGCCACCTGTAGCTGGAGCGTTTTAGAGATGCTCAGTTTGCCCTTGTTTGAACCAACTAGTCACCGGGCAGAGTCATGCCAGGAGCTGTTCTGGAGTGCAGCATGTGCTCCTCGTCTCTTCCAGCTTCCCATGGCTAGCAGCCTGAATCGACCAAGCCGCCTGGCTCAGCGCCGCTATCCAACCCAGCCGTGCTGAGAACGACCACCTGACCCAGACTTATCTCCGGGAAGCACAGTTTCTGGATTGCTCTCCTGTTCTCAGTCTCCCTTCCGTTCTGTCATAGCCAGGCCCAGGAGAGGGATGTGCTAGTCTGCTGCCTCCACTGTCACTAGGAAGGCAAAGAAATAGGAGCTCTCACCATGTAGCTGAAGCTTGACTTCAGCTTGATGGACTTTATTACATTGGATGGAAATTTGGGAAACGATAGCAGCCTGGAGGCGAGAAGAGTGTCCTGACAACAGCACTTGAAATGGCAGCATGAGCGGCTCAAGAAAGTTAGGGCCCTACAATTCCTATGGCCAGAATCAATGCTGGTGCCACCAGGGTCTAACAGGGTCCAGGAGCAAGAGTCCAGACTAACTTTAACTTCTTTTGCAGTCTTCCTTGTAGACTAATGCATGGCTCTAGTTATCAGAGTTTTTATACTGAAACTCAATTATCGCTGCCCTTCAATGATTCCCTCTTCAATGACATTTCAGCGATTTTCTTCCTGGTCCCAGTTTTGTGCACATTTTCTATGTGGTTCAGATTAATTATATTTCTCTCACTTTCTTAGCTGGTCCTATTTTTTCACATCCTGGCATCTGGCTATCAAGTTAGATTGCTGTAGGCATCATATTGTCATGGTAACTACTGAACCTAATGATGCAGATGGATGGAACATCAGTGTAATAAATGGTGGAAAACATTTCCTAAAAATTCATCCTTTCCATAAAGAGGGAGGAATGAGTGCCTGGTATTGTTAATACCCTCCTTTCTACCTCAGGCCTTTGCAAATTGATGTTCGGAGGGTCACTGGAACCAGAAGGAGGAGGGAGATATCTTGGAAATTTCCATTTCTCCTTGCAAACCAAAAATAGGAATGATTTTTGCTGTTTGTCAGATTTGCTGAAAATTGCTCCTCATAAAGAACACTTTTTGTATGTGTAATTGTACATACAGGTTTTGTACTTTAATGTACTATGGTTCTGATGTTGATAGTGATTAAACCCAGATAATTTTATAGCAAATGCCTGCCTCTGGCTGATTTTTTGCACTGGGAGAAAAACACATTGATGGTCTCTTCCCTGAAGTCATTCTAATAATGGTTTTATTGTGTGAGCAGGTGTGAATAGATGGAAAAAGCCCTTTGTTAATGAAGAATCTGGGGACTGATTCTCTTAACTCCCAAGTCTATTCTAATGCTATCATTTTTTGCAGTTTAAAAAAACGTAGACAAAAGCTCCTCTGACACAAACCTGTCATTCCACTAACTAAATGTTGCATATTCGGTTCCCTGAAAAGTTTTTTCACCTCTTAGTTTAAATTAGAAAATGCATGCGTAAGTGTTCTGTACCTAACAGGCCCTGGGTAAATGCAGTTCCCTTTTTTTCTTGGTTTTGGTTTGCTGACACCCAGTGGCAGCACTGTGACAGGGGAAGATGAATTTTACAGCAGCGAACCGTCTGGGCCTAAATCTCACTCCTCATAGCCCAACCTGGTAACTGTGGGCAGGGTTACCTCAGAAGGAAGAAAATAAAAATAATAATACCTACTTTATAGAGACATTGAATAAATGAAATGAATTGAGGTCTTACAAAATTGACTGGTACATACTAGCAGCTTTATAAATGTTTTAAATTGTTAGTGTGTAATTTAATAAGTAAAATCTTGCTTCTTATGCCTGCCAAGTTTAACTTTGCATTTTTCACTTTTGATCTAAGTATATCATGGGAATAATAATTTAAGGGTCCAAGATCTGCCCTTATTGCTTCTCCTCCTACATCCCATCTGGCGGCAAGGCTAAGTCATGAGGTGTGGTTCCCCTGGGAACAGTGACACAGGGGAAGTCCTGTCCAATAAAATAGAGCATTGGGGGGGGGGGACATGAAGGCCAGAGAGGAAGGCCCTGGCACCAGACACTGTGTTCACGTGTCCTCCTCCCAGGAGGATTACGTGTGGGGAAAGCACTGAGCTCATTCACTTCCCAGGAGAAGCAATATACAGCAGTGAGCACATTTTCCAAGGAGGGAAAGGAGGTGACTTTATGTACTAGGAGGAGGAGATTCGTGCTAGTCATGCTAATCCATAATTGAAAGTTTTCATTTTGTCAAAGTCAAAATAATCTGAATATGCATGGCTAAAACCGATCGTATCATCCATTGGTTAGGAAAGTTGGGCCAGTAAGGGTCTAATGAATGGAGGTCACTCAAAGATTTTAGTTATCAGCTGTGTTCTAAAGGTCACAATCATTTTACAGGTTCAGCTAGTTAAAACCAGTTGTAGTGAAAACCGAAACCAAAAAACAAAAACCAACTGGCTACAGGTGGCAGCTTGGGGAATCGAACAGGATGGGAAAGCATTGGGGTTGGAAGCCCATGTACTGGGAGAGGCCTCCAGACTTGGGAGAAAGCTGGCTTTGACTTTGTAACTTGTGTAATGTGTCTTAGGGGTAACCAGGTCTGTGATTTGAGACAGAGCCATTGGCTCCCTGGAGCCTTGTGTAGTGTGGACTCCAGAAAGGAATAATTATACTGTTTCCTTGAAGACTAGGTGGGGCCAGTGATGCCCCAAAACAACAGGTCAAATATAGGCCAGACCAACATGAGCAAGGAACAGGGCACATTGTGTGGGGCCCTCTGTCCCATCACCACGAGCCATCTGTGTGGAGACAGTGAACAGAATTCTCTCTCTTTACACAGAGACCCAAAGGTGCTCCTTAAAAGAGAGGTGCCTGAAACATTATTGCCAAGTTTTTATTTTTCCCTGCTCCTTAGTAGAGTACAAACTTAAAGGAAAAGTAGATCAGTGCTAGAGAATAAAGAAGCCACATTTCCTTTGCAAAATGAGTGGTAGTGTGCAAAATTGTGATTCTGCTATATACATATAATTTAATATTTATATGAAAACATTTAAACTTAATGTTCAGCAATTTGAAGAACAAACTGTTAAATTCCATTTAAGTGACTTTATCACATATCACCATCCCAGCCCTCTATCTAATCTTCTTATTTGACTATAAAACCGTGAATGAGACTGGATTCCTCAGTCACCTACGCATTCTCACTTTTCTGCCTGGACTCCGCTTCAGGTTGTCCAACGTCAAAGCTTTCAGACTGTCCCCCTCCCCCACTAGAAAGCTGCTTCCAGCTCTGAGCAACCAGGAGGAAGAGAAAGAGACAGCATCACCTTCCACACTGAAGTTGGGATATTTTCTACCTAGCTAATAGGCAAGCTGTTTTTCTGTTTGAAAAGTAGAATAGTTGTGTAATCCCCTTCTCTACTCACATGATATCTCCTGACCCTCCTTCCCCAGAGGAGGATGACTTTTCCCTTTTCAGTTTTCTGACTTAGGCTGGAAATTGCAGTGCAGTTGTGTGATCTATAAGCAAAACCAACAGGACGGAGATACTGAAGTAGCCCCAAAGAACGTGAAGCCTCACTGTCCGCCTGCTCTCACAAAGCACTTAGGCCAGGCTGCACTCATCCAGGCCCTTCAGAAATGGCTTCTTAATGAGATTTAAAGTTATTTTGAACACAGACTAATAGCATGTTAAAATGTTTCCATCACAATCTCACCAAGTGGAGGAATCAGCTTCCCATACTTTCATCCTTTTTGTGTATTTATATCCCTAGGTAATAGAATTTTTCTGGAACAAGGTCAACAGCAGCTTAATTTAACTTGACTGACCTGTGAAAACTCCATTGTTTTAACATGGATGCTTTCTTGCTCTCTATTCATCTGGAGGAGAGCCTACTCAACCTTCTAGGAATTTTTAAGAATCACGGCTTTTCTTGAGGTTTCAGACTTGGGGTCCATGTGAGGAAGTGATTTCAAGTACTTTATACCCAACTGCCCTTGTGGTTGTCTAAGAACCTCACATGGTCCCCAGTGCAGATGCAGAATGGTTGTCCACCTCCATCTGTGCTTGGAGCTTTGTTATATTTAAAGGCTGCTGACTTCTGCCCAGCTGAAGAAATGAAGTCTTAAAAATGGAGTTTTCTTCATAAGAGTCTGGGTTTAAATAAGATATATTCTTGGAGCCTCTTGGTAGCTACAGTCATCAAATATTCTGAATTTCAATAATAATAATATTTTTGAAGACTTTGGGTCAGGCACTATTGTATGTATTTCAGGAAGGATATAGTATATTTATTCCAACATAGAATATATAAATTAAGTAAAAACTGAAGAGAGAAATTTTTGCCCAAGTTTACATAATCGGGAAGGATGCAGCTTGGAATTGGAATCCAGCCAGTCGGACCTCAGAATCTGGGCTTTTAGCTACACGGTCTCCAGACTATGCCCACTGGCTCATTAATAGGATGTTGTGTAAGCCATTACACTTTTTCTCAACAAAGATCAGGTTTTGATTTGCCAAACAGTCACAGCAGAATTGTGCTTTAGGATTTGGAGGCAGGAAAAGACTGACTATTGCAGGCAGTGGAGTGCTTCAGCAGGGAAGGGGTTGAGGTAGGAGTGATCTGGGGTTTGTGCGCACACAGGTACCATCTCATGAGCAGCCCTTCTGTATTAGTTTGTTTCCTCCCATTGCTGTAACAAAATATTGAAGTCAGGTGATACAGAAAGAAGTTTATTTAGTTCACAGTTTTGGAGACTGAAAGCCTAAGATTGGATGGCTCCATTTGGGCTCTGGGTCCCGTAGGTTGGGTCACCACGTGGCAGTTGGTATCACTCTGCAATATGTGGAACAGGGAGAAATCACATGGTAAGTCAGGCAGCCAAGGAAGGGAACCAGTCTTGTTCTTTTATAACAACTCACTAAATAGGGTCCCCTGCGAACTCTCTTCCTAAATCTCTTCCTAGGCCAGGTGCAACCTCTTACAAGGTCTACCAGCTCTCACCACACTGTGGACCAAGGGTCCAACTCAGAAATCTTTGGGGGACCCACTAGAACCATATCTGACTTATAGCAATATCCACAAAGTCTTACTTAGCAGACTAGGATGTAATAGATTCTATATCAATAAATACAAACTTTTGACCAGAACACTTTAAACTGTTTATGTTTCCTAAAACTGGGGCCTTGGAAATCAAAGGCCTTGACTTTGAGTTTTAAGAGTCATTTTGGAAGAGATGATCAGTTTTAAAATTTTTTTTGTGTGTACTGTAAGCACGGTTGGGCTCACAAAGAAACTTGTCCTGGAATGAAAATAATTTGAGTTTGGGAGCTCAAGATTTTATTTCTACTACTTTGATATTTAGATAAACACTCATGAATTGAAAACAAATCAGAACCTTACAGTTATGACCCCTCTGTGTCATTTTTCAACTTCTTTTCTTTGCAAACAAGAAAAACAATAAATCCACCCAAAGTCCACAGATGGAATCAGTCATCCTTATAATGTACATCAATTAAAACCTTGAGTCCGAATCCAGCCACATTTGCTCTGTGCAACAGATACATTCCTGACAAATTGTGAATACACTGAAATTTGTGAAATCAAATTAAGTTTTGAATGCACTAGGATTGCTTACAATTTAAAAGTAATTGATGTCAAATTCCTAAAATAAAGAATTATTTGCACAGAAAATAATCATTCTGGATTTATTACTTTGTAGAAGCTGACTCGTAGTCTTAGGGAAGATGTAGTGAGAATGAGGAGACTTTAAGTTCCAGACTCATGTCTCCTAATAGCTAAACTTGTCACTTGAAGTTAATTTAGTCTTTCAGAGCCTTTAAACTTCCCAGCTAAATACTTGCGATCTGCTCATTCAACAAACATTTATTTCGTGTCTCCCATGGGACATATAAGTGCGAACAAAGTCCTGACTCTCAAAGACCTCACAGGCAAATCAGGAGGCTAATGAGCGACCAGGTTCAAACCAAGGTTATTTTTGCTTCAGTGCTCTTGGTGGGTCACGGTGGCCCTAACTGTGCCCGTGAGGAAGGGAGGTTGTCTGGAAGGTTCTGGAAGGTAAATTCACCAGTGGAAAAGCCATGGCCTGGGGAGGTGAATCAATTTTCCTAAATAGGCTTAAAGTTTTGATTTTTAGGGTGATCGACTT